ACACCCACGCAGAGCTGCTAACACCGGCGCAGCGCTCTTAACATTCTCATACAGCACGCGCATAACGCACTCGGTGCGCCCGCACTCATAGTGCGCGCACACTCGCCCATCGGTCACTAGCAGCCGGAGCTAAACGGCGCAGTTTGTAGCAAGCTGCTGTTGCGCGGTGTTAACAGAGGCTCTAACGCTGTGTAAATAAAGTCGCAATCTACGCTGCAACTCAGAGCAACTTTGTTGCAGCAGCCCGTGACAGTTGCCGCCACTGCACGAGAAATAAGCGATTTGATTGGATAGACGCGGGTCACGCGGTCGTCATTGTGACCTGCTGGCTATTTCCAACATGGCGGATTTTTAATGCATTTTTAATGCATGTGCAGAGTTTGATAAGAAAACTACATTAATCTGTATTTAGTAAGATAATGAATACACTTACCAGTACTATTTTTATTAATATTTTATAATTTTCATATTATTTACATTTCCGAAATGCCTGGATAGGTTATTTTATTCGTAGGCCACGCAGGCACCTTTCCTTGCCGAAATCCTGTACTGGGCTTCCTGGGCCAATTCGCCCAGGTGATAGGGGAGGACGGGCGTCATGCCTAGGCCTCCACTACACACAAGGGTGGGCTCCGGTTGTGTTTAATGGCTGGATAGCACGCAACCTTGTTGCACAAGAGAAGCAACGAAAAGTTTCAGTGTTGAATGTGAGATGTTGTGCAACAGTTGAACAGCAACCAAGTTTTGTGTAATAAAATTGCGCCATTTAGCTTCAGCTTAATGCTACGTGCTCACATAGGACTATACGGCTCGCATGAACACAAACGCACGCACATAGACAAACACAACGCAAATGCACAACATGGACAAACAACACTAACACAGCAAACACATACAGAGTCACATACAGGGTCACATACACATGGACACACAGGCACATGTAAATGTATGTAGGCACACACGGGCAAGTACGTGCGCGCATGTGTGCAAATGCACACGGACACAAGTGTGCAAACGCGCGCACAGACGTGTGCGCAGCCATGCATACAGGCACAGATGCTTACGGGCATATTTATGCTCACACATGCACACACATTCAGGCATTCGTACAGGCGCATAGACACACGTGCTCACGTGTACACACACCCACTTTTCCCTGACCCTGCTGTACACACTCTGATCCCTCCCACTGCTGCCCCCCACCCTGTCCAGGCCCCCCCCACCCCACACCCCAAGATATATTTAACACGTTAACGTTATTGTTACCGACGCGCTTTCATTATTTTGTTTTTTTAGAAAAAGGAAAAAATAAAACCACCAGTTTTTCGTTTTGGTTGTTTATCATCATCAACATTATTATTACCATTACTGTGTTATTAATATTATACTCTTACAAACTCCTACTATTATCGTTATCATCATCATTATCATCGTCGTCATTATATCATTGATCGCAAATCTGTTAGGCTCTTGTCGGCTCCTGCCAACTGCCCTCTCGCGCACTCTCTCTCCCTGCCGCCTGCACGTGTAGACGGGTCGGCAGGTCGGCAGACAGGCGGGTAGGGCAGGTAGAGACGGACAGACAGGTAGACAGGTAAGATACACAGACAGGTAGACGGACAGACAGAGTTGTCATCTGCCTGTCGTTGTACAGCCGGGCGAGGCAGCCCTTTACCCGTGAGTCATCAGCTGGGTTCGTCTTGCGTTTAAAAACAAAAAGCTTTGGAGATCGTGCAATGGCTGTTGCAGACTTGCTGCGCTTGCCTCGGTTCTACTGTGTTGCACCGTTTTTTTTTCCTCATACTTTTTTTCCTTTTTCTTGTTTTTCGTGTGGTTTTCTTTTTTTAACCAAAGTTTTAGAGGCACCTGACCTTCCCTGCCTGCCTCCCCTCCTTCCCTCCCTCCCCTCCCTCTCCATGTCTGCTGTTTCTACCCTGGTTCTTCCCAGCCCAGCGGACATGCGCGCGCACGCACGGAAACCTTGGTCCTGTGTCCCCGTGGCTTCCGTCCCTACGAGTCTCGCCGATTCTCTGTCCCTCTGTGCTTGCGAGCTACCTCCTGGTGTCTCGAGCATTCTCTTGTCTGTTGCCAGTGCTCTCCGTTTCTCTCTGTACTCCGGGTCATTGAAGCGAGGGCACGAGTGCGCGATCCAGACATGTCACTGCCCCCTGCGATGCGAAGAATGGGAAAATGCGTTTGCCGAGAGGGGAGCGTAGTTGCGAGTTTTTTTGCGTTGGCGAGCGTGCAGCATAAAGGAGTTGGGCGGCAGAGCCAATGTTCGCGGTGCATGCGGGATCGATATTGGGGAGAGAGCTCCTCGCCGAGTTATGTTCGAGTGCAGTGAGTGCGAGTGTGCGGGCGAGAAGGAGGACTTCTGCCGCTAGGTTCTGTAACCTCACCGCATTCTTGCCGTCTCATCCCTCTCCGTGTCCCTCATCCTCGCCCTGTTACCTCACCCCGTCTCCTTGCCGTGTATCCTGCATCCTTACCCTGTCTCTCACCACCTCACCCTGTCTCCCACCTCCTCACCACCCTATTCATTCCTCAACCGCTCTCTCACCTCACCCCATCTCTCTCATCCCCACCGTGTCTCCTTAACCCTGCGTCCCACCACCTCACCATGTCGACCTCCCATTATCTCCCACTAATCCCCCCCCCCCCCAATTCTTGCCTCACCTCACCCCATCTCCCACCTTTCTCCCACCTCTTGATTTTCATTTTCTTGCCGACTTTGATCTTCTCAACTCGTGCAACTTGTGGTTTGGTAAAAAAAAACGAAAAAAAGTAGGTAGGAGTTACGTTAAAAAAAAATCTGTAAAAATAATAAAAAGTTATAAAACTGCGCTTGTGGCGAGAGTGCTTGTTGCGTGTGTGTGGGCGAGGGAGGACCACCAGCCCTCGGTGCCTGGACTCGAATCTGGAACCTGCCACCTCGGGTCTCACAACTCCGCTTCACAATCATGGTCACGGTGGCGAGTTGCGTTTGACGGAGTCATCCTCTTTCACACTGTATTTATGATGTGACGTCACATTTCTCAAACCCCCCCCCCCCCCCTCGTCACACATCGTCACAAATGTCTGACCCCCCTAGGTGCGTGACGTCATTTATGGACGGCCCCTTTCCCATGTGCGGCACACGGTGACTGCACCTGGCCTGCGAATGGGCGTTTGTCTACTGGCCTATGGATGAGACTGGAGACTGGATAGCAAAGGAGAGGGAGGGTGGCTGACCGAGGAGACGGAGCGATGGAATTGGCTTCGAGTGCAGGAGTGAGACAGATCGTGGCACTGCAGTTTCAGTTTTCAGTTTCATTTATTCGGTATAGCCCTGTGAGCCATTCGGCTCTTGAATCGGGTGCAACCGCAACAAACAAAAACATTAACAAGAAACAATTGAGGACAAGGGAGACAGCGCTCCAATGTCTTTCAGACAGCTCTGTCTTCACCTGAGGACAGCTGCTTGTGTTGTGGCTGAAACGTCGTGAGAATTCTATTATGTTTTATTTTTATTATTTTATTATCTCCCTTCTACGTGACTTTACCGAAAGAACCAAGAAGATGAACCCCTGCAGTCACGAAAGCTTTAAATCGAAAAAAAATACAACCATAACCACAATCATATAAACATAAATCTATTTGATAGCAATATATTGGGACATTTTGAGCATATTTGAATATTGGAGGGTGTGTGTGTGTGTCCCAATATTTACATTATGAGCAGTCGCCCGGCCACGTGGCTCAGTGGAAGAGCGATCGCCTCGCAGAACTTTGGGGCCGTCCATAAATGACGTCACGCACCTGGGGGGGGGGTCAGACATTTGTGACGATGTGTGACGATGGGGGGGGGGGGGGTTGAGAAATGTGACGTCACATAAAAATGCGCAACTTTAAATAAATATAAACAACACGTTCTACTTAATTAAATAGACTTTGTAATAAATGTTTTCTCCAACAACATCAAAGTGCAGCGCCGCATTAAATACGCGTTAGAATGACAATAGTTTAAAGCGATTTGCAGCATGTTTTAGTTTTTTTTTTTGGGGGGGGGGGAGCAGAGCTTTGTGACGTCATATTTGAGGGGGGGGGTCTGACTTTTTGTGACGCCGTGTGACGAAGTGGGGGGGGGGGGGGGGTCAAACATCGTCCAAAATCACGTGGTGTCATTTATCGACGGCCCCTTTGAAGGTCACGAGTTCAAATCCTAGCTGAGTGGGGGGAGTTGACCCAGCCAATCATCCCCACCTCCAGGGTTCATAGAGTGAGTACCATACTACTTTGCGGGGAAGTCAATGGTGGTTGTCCTCTGGATATTTTCGCCCCCGCCAAAGGAATGTGGAATTGCCGTCGCTGGCTCAGGGTTATTAACAGAATGGCCAACTGAGTGCAAAATCACTTTGACTTGACGCTAGAATCGAGCCCGTTTAATCAGTGGACGGCTGGAATCTGGATTGGAATCCAGAATCTCACCGGTGCTGGATCAGCGCCTTTAACCCGTGAAGCCCTCCACCACCCGACCCCTCCACACTCAACACATTTCTCCAGCACATTGCGGCAATAACAGGAAACATTTCATATGCGACGGTTGGGCCAATGGTCTTTCTTCATAGCGCACCAATTCCCAGAAGCACCGAATCTTTTGTCCTGGGTTCTCACCCGGTTCCATCAAAGTAACTTGAACTTTTTCGATTTAAAGCTTTCGTGACTGCAAGGATTCATCTTCTTGGTTCTTTCGGTAAAGTCACGTAGAAGGGAAATAATAAAATAATTCTCACGACGTTTCGGCCACAACGCAAGCAGCCGTCTTCAGGTGAAGACCAGGTCTGTCGGGGAGACAGCGTCCTCTGGATATTTCAGACGCTGTCTCCCCGACAGACCTGGTCTTCACCTGAGGACGGCTGCTTGCGTTGTGCCCGAAACGTCGTGAGAATTATTTTATTATGTTACATTTTTATTATTTTATTATTTCCCTTCTACGTGACTTTACCGAAAGAACCAAGAAGATGAACTTGAACTTTGGCATCCAAGTGAGTTTGAATTTTGCGGCAAATGCGTGTGACGTCACAACGCAAAGCGCGTCGACCGCCTGCGTCATCACGCACGGCCAAGGCCCTGTGACGTCATCACGCCAATCTGTCGCAACCTTGAGCGCCTTCAAGCTGTCAGCCGTCCATCTGACATAAGGGGCCGTCCATAAATGACGTCACGCGATTTCGGACGATTTTTGACCCCCCCCCCCCCCCCTGGTCACACGGCGTCACAAAAAGTCAGACCCCCCCCCCTCAAATATGACGTCACAAAGCTCTGCCCCCCCCCCCCCCAAAAAAAATAAAACATGCTTCAAATCGCTTTAAACTATTGTCATTGTAGTGCGTATTTAATGTGGCGCTGCACTCTGATGTTGTAGGAGAAAACATTTATTAAAAAGTCTATTTAATTAAGTAGAACGTATAGTCTATATGCATTTAAAGTTGCGCATTTTTATGTGACGTCACGTTTCTCACCCCCCCCCCCCCTCGTCACACATCGTCACAAATGTCTGACCCCCCCCTAGGTGCGTGACGTCATTTATGGACGGCCCCTAATATACTCTTACATAAAACACTTTATGAAGCTAAAACTAAGTATTCTTAAACTCTTAACGCCGATTATCCGTATATGTTTTAACGCGTCCCACCCCCATCATATCAATACAGGAATCGGGGGATGAAGGAGGTCTATTGCCCGAAACGTCGCCTATAACATGTTTTTTGCCTCTTAAGGCGACACACACACACGGCATGTTATTGACGAGTGTGAATCAATCTTACGACCGAGGATTCTGAATATACTCTTAGGTTCCTTCGGTGAAGTCACGTAGGTAAAAAATAATAACAATAAAATTAAATAAGAATAAATGAATTTAGTTATTTTCATTTATTATTATTATTTAAAAATAAGAATAAATGAATTTAGTTATTTTCAATTATTTTATTTTATTGTTATTTTTTACCTACGTGACTTTACCGAAAGAACCTAAGAGTATGAATCCTTGCAGTCACGAAAGCTTCAAATCTAGGATTCTAAATATGCAGGAATCTTTAAAATAATCGATGGAATTTAAATAAAATCTGGAAACCTTAAACGAATGTTTTTAGTCAAGCCGCTGCTGGGTTTGGTGGCTGTGGTGCACAACTCAACACACAACTTACACACAACTTACACACAACTCAACACACAACTAACACACAACTAACACACAACTCAACACACAACTTACACACAACTCAACACACAACTAACACACAACTAACACACAACTCAACACACAACTAACACACAACTTACACACAACTAACACACAACTCAACACACAACTAACACACAACTCAACACACAACTTACACACAACTCAACACACAACTAACACACAACTTACACACAACTCAACACACAACTAACACACAACTCAACACACAACTAACACACAACTCAACACACAACTAACACACAACTCAACACACAACTAACACACAACTTACACACAACTCAACACACAACTCAACACACAACTAACACACAACTCAACACACAACTAACACACAACTTACACACAACTCAACACACAACTAACACACAACTAACACACAACTCAACACACAACTTACACACAACTCAACACACAACTAACACACAACTTACACACAACTCAACACACAACTAACACACAACTCAACACACAACTAACACACAACTCAACACACAACTAACACACAACTCAACACACAACTAACACACAACTCAACACACAATTAACACACAACTTACACACAACTCAACACACAACTCAACACACAACTCACACACAACTCAACACACAACTAACACACAACTCACCACACAACTCGAGGAATCGAAATTTAAATATCGGAAATCACGTGAATGCAAAGGTGTTAGAATCGACATTTCTGAAATCGAAATGCACCGGAATCGGAGGAATCGAAAGGGGCCGGCTACATTACCTCTTCGGTAACAGAATCGACGTCTCCGATTCCACGCCCTCGCGCCGGCCCGAGCCAATCAGCGACGCCCTCACTTGGCGGCTCGGCCAATGGGAGACAGCGATGCTGGCCGCACCCTCCCCACCCCCCCGTCGTCCCCCACCGCGTTGGAGGTCACCACCACCACCAGCAGCAGCAGCAGCAAGAGGCGATGGCGGCAGCGGTGAAGACTGCGACGCGGGGCCTTCGCGCTCTGGGCATCTCGGCGCGGAGGGGCGCCCCCTCGCCCCTCGCTCGAGGTTTCCACGCCACCCGGGCAGCCGCCGTGCAGGTGCCGCAGTCCGCTTCACACGCAGTCAGTCAGTCAGTCAGCCAGCCAGCCAGTCAGCCAGCCAGTCAGCCACCCAGTCAGCCAGTCAGTCAGCCAGCCACACAGTCAGCCAGTCAGTCAGCCACTCACCAAGCCAGTCACCCAGCCAGCCACCCAGTCAGCCACCCAGCCTGCCACCCAGTCAGTCACCCAGCCACCCACCCAGTCAGCCACCCACCAAGCCAGCCACCCACCCAGTCACCCACCAAGCTAGCCACCCACCAAGTCACCCAGTCAGCCAGTCACCCATCAACCCAGCCAACCAGCCAGCCACCCACCAAGCCAGTCACCCAGTCAGCCAGCCAGTCAGTCACCAATCACCCAGTCAGCCAGCCAGTCAGCCAGTCACCCACCAAGCCAGTCACCCAGCCAACCACACAGTCAGTCACCCAGCCAACCAGCCAGTCAGTCACCCAGTCAGTCACCCAGTCAGCCACCCAGTCAGTCACCCAGTCAGTCACCCAGTCAGTCACCCAGTCAGCCAGCCACACAGTCAGTCGTTCAATTGTGACATGGGCCCTATTTAGCATGCAACTCAACACATTATTCACGAACACTGTGGGCTTTAAATAAAATTAATGGTTCGACGTTTCGGGAAATGGTCCTTAATAGCACATAACATCACTGCGGGGCTACGTTGTTTGCAGCTGCAGACAGTGGACTGCATTCCTAATGCCTCTGCCTCCCGCCTGCAGAAAACTACACGGATCAGCGTGGAGGATGGTAAAATGATCCCCGTGATGACCTGCAAAGTGTGATGCAATGGGAGGGCAGTAATGATGCGCTTCAGATTAACTGCAAAGGATTTTTCTTGGCTTGAGAGTCTCGCTGGACAGCAGGGCGACACGCGGAGAGGAAACATTTTCAATTTACTTTGACGTCACTTTGATGACGTATTGATGAGTTAAGTGGTCTCGTCATAGTAACGTGGAAATTCCAATAGTGCTGTCCCGTGATCGTTTAGTTACAGAGACTGTGGGTGTCATGTAAATCGCCTTATGTACTCTGACGCCACGCGCAAGCGAATTGCGATTGCAAGATTTTGGCATGCGCTGCGAACCTGAGAAGCGATATGAATTGCATCGTCACACGACTTTCTCTTCCGTGGGTCAGGGTGGAGGTCAGGGTTGAGGTCAGGGTTGAGGTCAGGGTTTGAGGTCAGAGAGAAGGTCAGGGTTGGAGGTCAAGGTTGAAGTTGTCCCCCCCTCCCCGCTGCGTGTGTTCTAGATGACGGTGCGGGATGCGCTGAACCAGGCGATGGAGGAGGAGATGGAGCGGGATGAGCGAGTGATGCTGCTGGGCGAGGAGGTGGGGCAGTACGACGGAGCCTACAAGGTGCGGAGCTCACATCATCTCTCGTCTCACTGACCGTCTCAGTGTCACCACTGTCAGAATCATCATCGTTAAAATCATCATCTCACAGCCAGTGTGAATGTCACCACTCAACATCATCAACATCGTCATGAACTCTATTGACTGACATCATCAACATCACTGGACTAATGGCCAGTTTCCCAGGTCACTCTTGAAAATAAGACTCTATCATGGTCTCTTGGGTTCTCAACTGATTAAACAAATCAACTTGAACGAGTATAATTATTGAACACATAATAGGTTTGCACAGCAAATATGATTCATAATACATTTTTAGCTTCTACCACGCGATGATTTGGTCATAATTTGTGTCGAAAGACCCTCCACCACCCGAAACAGCCGATCGTTACATTGTCACGCAGTGTACAGACGTTTAATAGTTGCACCAGTTATTGATTCAGCTCACTCACTGGAAAGTTGGAGAACAATTCTCACAACCAGATTTCGCAGCCATTAGATCTGTGACGTTTCATTTGGAACTGCATCAATCATCATCAGGGCAAGATTCAATAATTCATACTCTTAGTTCTTTCGGTAAAGTCACGTAGGTAAAAAAATGAAATAAAAATTAATAAAAATAAAAAATAAAAATCACGACGTTTCGGAGGCAACACAAGTCTCCGTCATCAGGTGGGACCGTCACAGCCAGATTTGCTGCATCAAGTGAGGGAGGGATTCAAGGTGTAAGCTCTTAAGTACCAGTTAAGGGGGGAGGGGGGAGGGGCTTATCAGAATGTGGTAGCCAATGAATGGAACGTGACTTTACCGAAAGAACTAAGAGTATGAATCCTTGCAGTCACGAAAGCTTCAAATCTAGAATCAAGATTCAAGAAGTGTGGAACGATCCTGGAAGTCAGAATATGAAACACTTGTCCATGTGACAGTTTAATTTGTTTCCCTGCGTACCAGGTGGTGGAGGGTCTTATGGCAGAAATTTGGTCAGACCATTACGTGGCCTAAGCCAAAAATCAATGATGAATCGGCAACATCACTCTCATCGCATCGTAATCATCGTCTTCATCATCGTTCTGCATTGACACCGCTGTCACGACAGGCATCATCATCATTGCTGAGCCCGTGGTCTCCGTGTCGTTGCTGCGGTGGCCACTCGGCTGTGAGTAGGTGAGCCGAGGGCTGCTGAAGAAGTTTGGGGAGAAGAGAATCATCGACACGCCCATCACTGAGATGGGATTCGCCGGCATTGCCGTGGGGGCCGCCATGGTGAGAGAGACGCCTCCTCCTCCCTCCCTCCTCCCTCCCTCCTCCCTCCCTCCTCCTCCCTCCTCCCTCCCTCCTCCCTCCCTCCTCCCTCCCTCCTCCACCCTCTACCCCCTCCGCTCCTTTGCTCCCTCCCTCTCTCCTCTCCAATTTCCCGTCGTGTGTCCCTGTTGGTGACTCCGTGTGTGCATGACCTGCGTGTGGGGGTGCGTATGTACGTGTTGCTTGTGTGTACGTGTGTGTCTGTAGGAGCTCGTAGTGTCCGTACGAGTGTGTGTACATGTGTGGGCAAGTGTGTGTACGAGCGTGTCCACATGCGCGTGTGTTTCTTAGTGTTTGTGTTTACATGTGTATGTGTGTACCAGTATGTGAGTACAGTTGTGCCACTGTGTGTATGTTTTGTACAGGCTGGTCTGCGCCCCATTTGCGAGTTCATGACCTTCAACTTCTCCATGCAAGCCATCGACCAGGTGCGTGTGCGTGCGTGCGAGCAGCTCCACGCACTCGGCTCCTTGTGGAGGGGCTCCGCTCTATGGCCTAGAGGCTCTGAGCGCCACACACAGAGGCTCCTGTGCTGTGAAGTCGAGCTCCTCTCTGGGCTGGGGATGCGGGGCTACAAGACACAGGCTCTCAGTAGCCTCTAGACCAGTGGTTCTTAACCTTTTTGGAGGTACCGAACCCCACCAGTTCATATGTGCATTCACCGAACCCTTCTTAATTGTAAAAATAAAATTATTTTTTCAAATTAAAAACATAGGTATATTTTTTACTGGTGCACAATCATATGAGTCGGGTGTGTGTCTTAATCTCTGCCGAACCCCTGAGACTGACTCACCGAACCCCTGGGGTTCGATCGAACCCAGGTTAAGAACCACTGCTCTAGACTCTATGGATTCATATTTGGGTTCAAACTAGTATTGTTTTATTTATTCAGAACGATAGAGTACCGTATCATCTCGAGCAGACCAGGAGATAGGCTGATGCATGCGGGTTGACTGCCGAACGCCGCATGCCACTGCGTGCAGCTAGAGTACCGCGCGGTCAATGTTTCTCTTCTATAATAAACAAAGTGCTTTTGTGTTTTATTTTCTGGTAAGCTCTCTGGCTGTCAACTGCGTTGAGCCTGGCTTAGGGAGGTTTTAACTTTTCATCAATGGTAAATGGTTTATCCAGGTTAGATTAAAATAACATGTCCCCGCGTGTCCCCGCGCATCCTTGCGTGTCCCCATCTTTCTGCATGTGCCTCCGCGTGTCTGTCCACGTGTCCCCCCACGCGCCGCCTCCCGCATGTCCGCAGGTCATAAACTCGGCGGCCAAGACATGTTACATGTCGGCGGGTGCGGTGTCGGTGCCCATTGTGTTCCGCGGGCCCAACGGCGCGGCGATGGGCGTGGCAGCGCAGCACTCGCAGTGCTTCGCCGCCTGGTACAGCCACTGCCCCGGCCTCAAGGTCGTCTCCCCCTGGAGCTCTGAGGATGCCAAGGGCCTCCTCAAGGCGGCCATCCGCGATGAGAACCCAGGTCCTGCGGTGTGGCAAGCGCGCACGTCTGTGTGCGTGCGCTTGTGTCGTCCGTTGTGTCTGCGTGTATGTATGTTTGATTTATTTTGCACCGTACGTAGCCAACCGTGCTAATCGGAGGTGCGGAGGAACTAAACACAAAAAGCACTTCTAAAGAAATGAGTTTTCAGTAGAACTGATCTTTGTCTTTCGTTTTTTTTACCTTCCCCCGCACATCCGATGAGCACTGTTGGCTACGTTTGGTGTGGTAGTGTTCAGTGGTCAGTACTGCACTCCGCTACAAACCCCGTAAACAACGGTGAAGAATATCTTAACCGGTCCTGGGCCTTCCCTACATTGACTCAGCTTTAAATGAGTACCTGGTGCAGCGTGTAAACATCAGAAATGGGGAAACAATTGTGGCCAGGTGTGGTGCTGGCCACACCACCCCCTCGTGTGCCATGCCGGCCACACCACCCCCTCGTGTGCTATGCCGGCCACTTGGTTTACATTGTTATTACAGCAGGTGCACAGGGAGAAGTTATGGCTTGCACGGGTTGTACAACTCAGCCCTGAATAAGGACCGGGCGTCCGCTTACAGGAATTGCCCCCTCAGTCTATAAGATTACACGGAGGGGTGGGGTGGGGGGGGTCTCTATTTTTACCGCTTCCCAACCTCGAGCTTTTGCATTAACTCTGTCCGCCTGCCTCTCCGTAAAGGATCAGCGCAATAGCTCTCGCAGGCATTATCCAGACTAATATCAAGTTGCTTTGCTACTCGGCACATTAATCAAAGCGTTATTGGCCAACATTTGTCGTTCAAAGAAACCAGCACTAAAAGTCCCCACCTCGGCGTCAGAGGTCGCAAACGGGTTTTCATTCCTTACCCGGCCGCACCAGGGTCGCAAACGGGTACCCATACCCGTACCCAGCCGGGTACGGGTAGCCGGGTATCGGGTAGGGTACGGGTACCCGATTGCGACCTGCGTCCAGGCCCTGCCGGCCTCGGTGCATTCTCCCGGGCAGTGCCGGCTATGCGAATTCCCTGCTCTTACCAGTCTACTGCAGTGTGAGTGCCACGCTGCTGTTGCCGATTGAGTACTGAATGCGTGCGTGGTGTTTGCTGCGCGTGTCCGTGTGTGTGCGTTGTTCCCTGTGTGCGCGTGTCCGTGTGCGTGCGTGCAGTGGTGTTCCTGGAGAACGAGCTGCTCTATGGAGTCGCCTTTGAGATGTCCCAGGAGGCGCAGTCCAAGGACTTCGTCATCCCCATCGGCAAGGCCAAGATTGAGCGGCCCGGTGAGGACGTGACCCTACATTGACCCTTACCTTGACCTTGGCCCCATCAGGTCTGTGGAGGTGTGACGTGATGGCGTGTCTGGCCATGACGCCGTGATCGTGTGGTGTCCCGGTATATCAGGCGGTTGTGTGGTGGTGTGGGTGTCACTGTGTTCGTGTGCCTTGTCACAGTGTAACTTTTGATTGGAGTGTGGTGGTGTGCATGGCCGTGGCACAAAACTGTGTAGTTGTGGTATGACGTTGCGTGGTTGTGGCGTGACACTGCTGTCTGCGGCGTGCTCCGTATGGTTGTGGTGACGTGTGTTGTTATGACACTGTGGATGTGCGATGCTGTGTGGTTGTGTAACGCTGCGTGGATGTGTGTGGTTGTATGACGGCGTGTGCAGTTGTGTGATGCATTTGGTTGTGGTGTGCCGTTGTTGTCCGCGTGGTTGTCCCGCACAGGGAAGCACATAACCATCGTGTCGTTTTCGCGCACCGTTGGTCACTCTCTGGAGGCGGCCACCGCCCTCGCCAAGGAGGGCATCGAGTGCGAGGTGAGGAGTCAGCCTCAACACAGACAACCTGGCCTCAACCCAGACGCGCACAACATACACCGGCCTCCACACAGACACGCACACCAGCCTCACTCAGCATGCACGCACACAGACCTCTACAAGCACGCCAGCTTGAGCACACGCACAACGCGTAACTCCTTGGGGAATTCTGACAAATTTCCCACCTGCCCCCTCCCCACCGTGCCCCCCCACAGGTGATAAACCTCCGCACAGTCCGGCCACTGGATGAGGAGGCGATTGAGAAGAGCGTCATGAAGACCAACCACCTGGTGACAGTGGAGGGCGGCTGGCCTCAGAGCGGAGTCGGATCCGAGATCTGCGCTCGCATCATGGAGGGTCAGCCACCTCTCCCGCTCCACCTCTTGCCCTTGACCTTGCCTCTTGGCCACCCGTGGCCTTGCGCTCCAACCTTTGACCCTTCGCCCATGCTCGGCCGCGGCATCGAATTTCGATTCGGCTGGTCACGTGACCCTCGACTTTCCCCCCCCTTCCCACTGTCCCCGCATTCCCATTGTCCCACCCTGTCCCCACGTCTCCCCCATGTCTACATCTGCCGCACGTCTCCTTTTTCCATGTCAACCTCGTTTCTCCCTTGTCTTATGCGTCCCCCATCACCCCTCGTTTCTCTATCTGCATCTCCTCTTTATCTCCATCCGTATCTCCAATTGTCCTCCATCACCTTCCCACCCCCCCACCTTCCGCAGGCCCTGCGTTCAATCACCTGGATGCACCGGTGGCTCGCGTCACCGGAGTGGACGTGCCCATGCCGTACGCGCGCAACCTCGAGGAGGCGGCCAACGCGCAGGTCAAGGACATCGTGGCCACGGTGCGGCGCGTGCTCAACCTGGGGGAGGCGCGCACACAGGCCACAGGGCAGCAGTAGGCCCAGACCGTGGGCAGCAGCTGCAGCAGAAGCAAAAGCGAGCGCAACGCGGCACCGGCTTTGAGCTAACGCCAGCACTCTTGCCGCACGGGAACGCACAATCTCTAAGTTTGCCGGGTTCCCCCCCCACACTCCACCTTGGTGTTCCCCGAGGCCCCCACTCAACCCCGGGTTCCCTTGGGTCCCCCCTTCCGCTCGCTCCAAACCCTTGTCCCCTGTACTTTGACTTGAATGTAGAACATGGAGCGCACTGTGGGGGTGGCGGGGGCGGGCAGCTTCTACTGTGCCCCCCTCTCAAACACCCACCCCCCTCCCACTTTAACCCCCCACTTTGATCCTGTGCCCCCTCCTCCCCCTGCCCCACTGCCCCCCGCCCATGATGAGCTCCATGTTCCGCTGCTGGTTGGGCGTGAGCACCTGGGTGTGGTGTGACTGCCCCCTCTTCCCCCTCACCCCGTGTGTACCCTCGGGTCGGGGCGGTGTTCTCCTGTAGGGTTCGACCTCGGTGTGACCCCCGCGCTTGTATTAAACGACCATGTCCCGCGATCGCTGTGTGCCTCTTGCTGCCGTTACCGCCAGCGTCGCCGCGTCGCCGCGTCCACGCTCGCTGAGCCACGGGCACCGTAGACTTCTTTATTAATCATCATCATCATCACAGTCGTCTTCATCACAGTAATTTACATGGGCAGGCCTGCTGGACCACCAGCATCGGGCCTGGCGTGGCCACCCGCGCAGTCGATCTGCTCACGGCGCCAGCTACCGCCCGGGACCACCGGGGCACCGGCTGCCGCCGAGGAAAAGTGTTGACGGCGGTTGCGGCGGCAGCAGCTGGTGGTGGTGGTGGTACGGTGCTGCAAGGCGGGTGAATTAGTGGGGCACTGTGGGATCGTGGTGTCGCATTGCAAAGGCAGGCGCGTGCGGCAGGATTATGGCACAACGTGCTGTGAACAGTACAGTGAGGTTAGTGAGTGGGGGGAGGTGTGTGTTGCATATAATGAGTGCGTATCTCGTGTAGCGAGTTTAAGGGGTGGCTGCATCGTGTGCAGTGTGTGTGCTGTATATTGTATAAGTGGTGAGTGCCGTGGTGATGGTAGTGTCGCGAGTATGCCTTGGTGCAGTGTAGACGAGCGAGCGGTGCTCGGTTTGTGTTCGACGTCACACTTTGGCCGAGTTGCGATCGCTGATCGACACCGACTTGAGGCCACCCTTGCTGAAACTGCGGATGGAACCCAGCAGGGCCCCTCGTCCCACGTCCCTCCCAGCCCCAGGGGGGCTCAGTGAGGGGGCGGGGAGGCCCGACAGCGCGGGCGGGGCAGGTGGTGCGGGGCCTGGCGGCGGCGGCGGCGGCAGTGGCGGTGCTGGCGGCGCCCCGATCCCTAAACGCAAAGACGTAGCGAGTCACAGGCAGCCTCCACGTACAGTCCTCCAAAACCGGGGCCGACGCTCCGCAGCCTCGAGGACAAAGAGAGCAGCGAGCGTGCGAGGAGGTGGACGTAGGAGGGAGAGGAGCGAGCGAGCGGCCGGGGTTAGTGCGGTAGCAGTAGCGACACCAGGAAAGCTTCCCCTGGAAGCGACCACAGACGCCCTGTTATCCAGGCAACGGTTACCACGGGAACCGCTGTCATAGCAACTGCAGCATCCACGAGCCTGCAGTAAGTGTTAGAGCCACGTCTGTTGATTCTGCTGCTCGTGTTGCAGCTGTGTGGTGCGAGGGCCCGGCGCTAATGGGGGGGTTATTTGTAATCGATTGCTTACGTGGCACGCGGTCAAGGCTGCGAGTCTGCAGCGTGGACAGAGATAGAGGGGGGGGAAAACAGAGTTACCGCCCACAGTCAGCCCAGAACGGCACTTCGCGCACCATACTTAGAACACCGTGCTCTCACGCCACACACAGAATACTGGCATCACGCACACAGCACACTCGGGACAAACTTCACACTCACCCAGGGCACAAACATACCTCGCACACACACAGTATATACTCGCCGTACTTGCGCACGCACTCGCATCATTCACACCGCACAACACTTCACATGCCGCAGATTGCACAACTCGTACCGCACACAGCACGTGTTGCCAAGTGTATCCCGTGTGTATAAAAGTCTCCTTTTGTCTCTCCACGTGTCTCTGTGTGGCCCCGTTTGTCTCTATGTTACTCGATGTCACCGTGCATAACACCGTGACCCCGTGCGCGACCCCGTGCATGACCCCGTGCGTGACCCCGTGCGTGACCCCGTGCGTGACCCCGTGCGTGACCATACCCGTGGGAGTTGGCGTGGACGGAGTGGTGGGGGGCGAACTCGTACAGGAACCTGGATGGGGGGTGGTATACATGATCAAAGTTGCGACTGGATTAATGTAAAACAGCAAACCTGCGACTGGGTCTTAATCGCTTCGTTCATCGCGATACAATACAAGTCGTGCAGAGTAAACAACGATACTCGGCTCCCCGTAACGGTGGGGACTACGGGCGGGGCTTGGCACATTCCCAAATGAAAGCCAGGACCAGGGCCGCACTCGTTTCGTTACCTTTGTTCCCCTTCATCTCGTTCGGGGGCCCCCCCCCCCCCCCGGTACGGGGGTGTCAATGGCGGTGGGGAGGTGGGGGGGCGTACCTGTGGAGGTGCCGTTTGTGGGGGGCTCCTCCGTTTCGTCCGTCGTGAGCTGCCGCGATTTCTATGGTGGGGGAGGATAGCGGATGCAGGTGAGGGACGGCGCTGTCGGTGAGGTCAGGTGATGGACACGGTCAAAGTTGCGTCTCGATTAGCCATTGGTTTATCACTGACCAGGACTCCGATGAGGGTTAGTGCAACGAGTATTAACAGCCCCCCAAAAATTCACAGCAAAACAAAGAAGGGAGGTGGGGTGGGGGGCACACGAAACATTACCTTTGCTCTCTGAAGCAGGGGGCAGGGAATGGGGCCAGAGATTGGAGTTCAGAGGTTAATAGTGATGAGGATTTGTCTTTATAGTTTCTGCCTTAATAGGTGCTCACTAACAGCACTTGAGCCCAACGGTGCGTGTGGCTCCCCGGCCTTCACCTTGCGAGCAAGCATTTTCCGTTTCTTCTTCTCCTCCTCGGAGCCGTGGTAAGACTGCGCGCGCGACAGCTTTCGGAACTGATGTAACTGCAAAGACAAACATCTCCCGCTGAGTATTTACAGGACTGTTGGGTCAAGTGCTGTTACGAGTGTCACCTATGAAGGCTGGAATGTCACACGAGGGGGTGGTGTGGCCAATACCACGCCCGGCCGCCTTCGTCTCCTGAGTGGAGATGTTTACGCACTGCACCAGGTAATTATTTTCTACGGGAGGCCCAGGACCGATTCAGATAATCATCACTGGTGTTGGCTGTGAGTGAGAATTTAACTTGCGTCACTGGGTTCGTAGTGGAGTGTGCTAACCGTGACAAGGCAGAACTGCATGCACGTGCACACACATGTACGCACGCACACACGTGTACGCACGCGCACACACGTGTACGCACGTGCACACACGTGTACGCACGTGCACACACGTGTACGCACGCACAAACCATCTACGCCTCGGCAGAATGTGGGCACTGGTGCAACATGGTCCTTGGTAATCTACGCGATTTTGATGACGATCATCACACATACACAGGTGTACAGTTAGAGCCACACACGTGGTGGTAGTGGTGATGGGGGGAGGTCCATACCGTGCGCTGGTCTTCATGGAGCCGATTCTCCACTGCCTCCCGTGCCACCTTCAACGCCTCTCGCAGTCGGCTGGGGATCTGGCGGGCCCAGGTAAAACAGGAGCGCACAGGTGTAAACACACAGGGGTACGAGTGTAATTAACTGGGTCTGAGGGGGTGCCCCACTCGTACACCAAGTAACGCGTGCGTGCCCTCGCACACGTGACCATTCACCAGGCGTGAGTGAGAGCTCGTGTGAGTGGATACGTGTGTATAAAACCCGTGCTAGGTCACCTTAAACTGTGGTTTCTCTCCGCCGTTGGGCAGCGTCACATCCCGGAAGAGCCTGCGGGGCACACAAAGAGAGTCTCGCATTCACCGTGCGCAAGGCGGCAACACACGACGGCATCTTCGCTCCGCTGAGTGGCGAATGACATCTGAACCGGTCCGGAGCCTTGCTTCATCAACCAACACGGACCAGTGTGGTAAAGTATGGTGAAACAATCACCAATAAGGTAGTGGATTGTCCAAAGTACCGTAAATTATACTTGATTCAGTAGGCATTGGGGTGGCTGGCTGCGGTGTTGGCCACTCACCGGCTCGTGTGCCATGCCGGCCTTCATTGGTCCTCGCTAACAGCACTTGCCCCAACAGTCTGTTAAAGGCTACGGGGGGGGGGGGGGGATTATTATCTGTGTGTGCGTGTGTTCTTACGGTGTAGCGAGCAGCTGCTGCAGCGTGGGCAACCCTGAGCGGAGCGCGTCAGCCGAAAGGATTGACTCCAGCACCGTCGCTGGAAACACAGAAGATGGACGTACGGAGCAGACATTACATGCCATCCCCCGGGGCACTGTGCCATGCAGCGATGGGACCGAACGTAAGCGAGGTGGGAAGCCGGTGCGAGTTTGCGCGTCGTTACCGATGTAGGGCGATGACGAGGGGCCGAGTGAGGGGGCGTCGATGGGGATGGCAGAGGGCGGCGCCCCGTACGCCATCTCGTGCAGCAGCAGTCCGAACGAGAAAACGTCCACCGCGTCCAGCGTCTGCACCCCAATCGCACACGCAGCACATGGCGCACGTTGCGTGTGTGTACTCGCTGATCAGCGTGGTTGGGTACGTACGGTACGAAAGAAGTTCAACATACGTACATGTGTATATGTTTAACATGTCGGCTTTCGCGACCAATATCATCCATGAGGTTTTTTTGGGTTAGATCGCATAAATATATAAATGTGTCGTTAAAAACAGCCACCACCCGAAACAGCCAACTAGTAAGGGTTGTCGGATTGTAAATTTTGTGGCTTGGCTCTCCAACACACTGGTGTGCTGTACTAGTGACGAATTGGCACCTTCTGTTTACGTGACAACCCTTACTAGTTAACTGTGTCAGGTGGTGGCGGGTTTTAACGACACATTTATATATTTACGCGATCTAACCCAAACAACCTCTATTATGGATGTGTATATGTATGTGTGTGGAGGAAGGACGTTAGTGGATAGTTGGAGGCAGTCGCCCTCCAGCAATGGCGTTATAGGTGTGTACTTTGCGAGTGTGCAAGGATTGTCACGTTGATCTTGGAGTGCTGTGTGTACATTGTCGGCGTGTACTCTGCATTGTATGCGTGTGCTCTGCGAGTGTGCGAGCATAGTCACGTTGATCTTGCGGTACTGTGCTGTGATCCCGCGAATGGCACTGGGCAGCCCGAGCAGCGTGTTCTCCAGGTCGAGCAGACGGCACGCCTCCCCCTCCACGCTCACGTTCCCCGCGTGCACGTGTCCGTACGGGAACCCGCGCTCCTGCAGGAACCGCAGTGCCTGTATGCGCACATGCAGAGACAAACATCCCGATGTAGCCTTTATAGGCTGCGAGGCCAAGTGCTCTAAAGAGAGCCCGTGTGCAGGCTGGCACCGCGCATGAGGAGATGGTTTGATCAGTGTCAGGTCTGGCAGCCACCTTGTCTTCCAAGTGCTGATGTTTACACACAGCACTGGTTAAGGCCTAGGACCGGATAACATATTCGTAACCGTGCACAGGAATCAAACTCAGTTCGCTGGGTTCGTCGCACAGCGAGTCAACCAATGTGCCACCACTTCCCACCATAAACACAACGATCCCCTGTATAACCTTAACAGACTGTTGGGGCAAGTGCTGTTAGCAAATTCCTATGAAGCCCGGCACGGCATACGAGGGGGTGGGTGGCCAGCACCACACCCGGCCGCCTTTGTCTCCCCAATGGCAATGTTTACACACCACACCAGGTACTCATTTGAAGCTGAGTCGACCTAGGGGAGACCCAGGATCGGTTAAGATAACAAATAATCGTCACTGGTGTTGGTGGCCGTGAGTGGGAATCGAACTCCGGCTGTCGCCTGATGAGCCTGGTTGTAATTACCGGCGAAATGTAATACTCAAATTGTAAATGTTGTGGGTATACTTTCCAACACGCCGGAGTGCTGAACTAGTAACCAATTGACAAAAACATACGAATTGGCTGTGTCGGGTGGTGGCGGGTTTAACTACACATTTATATTTACACGATCTACTGTATGGTGCCGGCCCGGGAGGGTCGCAGCGTGCGATGTTCCTACGTTGCAGACAGCACCGGGTGGGTTGCTGTGTGATGCCGGCTTCACTATAGCATGGCGTGCGATGTTCCTACGTTGCGGACAGCACTGGGTGGGTTGCTGTGTGATGCCGGCTTCACTATAGCATGGCGTGCGATGCATCGTCATCGCGTACACCCCGTAGATCGGTGTAGTTCCAGCCCTTGCGGGGCTTGGTGAGCGCTGGGATAGCGCGGGCACCGCGCATAGCGAGTAGTGCGGGCTCCCACAAGGGGGAGCGGGAGAGTGTCAGCCCAGGGGCAGGGTTGCCCCGTGCCATGGCACTCTAGTTGACCCTGTAGACATGTGATCCGGAGTGTCCACAGAGAGGGCCCCAAATGGGGGGGGGGCTAGGGGGTGATCACGTGTCCGGGGAGAGCTCTCGAGAGGGATCAAGAGGGAGCTAGAACGCTCGAGAAGGCGGGTGGGGCCTGGGCGGAGCCAGCCCCGACCCGGGAGGATATAAGGTGGGTCCCTGAGAGGGACCGGGGTCGCTTCGTCCTACAAGCTGGAAGCTCCACGTCCTACAAGGCATCAACACGTGGCCGGGACCCAAGTGAGGGTCCGAACCTTCGTAGCTGTAACTCCTCCGTATGGTGTAGTTAGCTGGGTGGTCACCACCCTAGGCTGTATCTGGTGAAGGGGCAGTTACCCCTTTGTATATACGTGTTATAATAAATGTGTTGCCTCTAAAGAATAACGTCTGCGACTCAGGACTCACTACACATATACACACAGGAATACACACACGGACTTATACGTGCACATACAAGGACATAGTGTAACTCTAGCCACCCGGTCCCCATCACCTCGAGGATTTGGCGTCCGTAGAGGCGCACGTGAGCGATATCAAGCGGCGCACTCCTCCGCGGGCTACAGTACTTGTGCAGGAAGTGGTCACGTGGCTTCGTCTGCAGATGTACAGACACACAGAGACGCATGAGGATACACGGGGACACAGGGAGATGCATGAGGATACACGGGGAGGCACGGGGAGGCACGGGGAGACACGGACAAGGGGACATGGTGACACGAGGACATGGACACGAAGACACACGGGGACACTCGACACACCATTAAAATGGCACTAACATTAACACCATAGAGACAACACCGTGAACATAACACCTCCAATTCAGTGGATGGTTTAACCACCCCCCTTACCACAGCTTTCAAAATAAATTCAACTGCACATGTGGTACGGCATAATCGAGCGGCACGCACAACGACCCCGCACAGTCGCAACCCCACACCCCCCCAGTTCTCTCCCCAGCCCCCCAGCCCCCTACGCACCTTGTGGATGAGGTCCTTGAGCGTGCCCTTGTCATTTATGGTGCGCACCACTAACCCCGACGACTCGCTCGCCTCCGCAAAGGCAGTCGGCGCCACGTATGGGTGCTGAGGAAGGGAGAAACGGGGTGGTAACACAGGGTTTGGTACGCAAGGTCTAGTACACACGATGCGGTAGGCACGGTGTGGTACGGACAGTGTGATATGTGCAGTGTTACGCACTGTGAAGTACACCGAATTCAGTAGGAATGCCGTGACATTCACTGTGCGGTACGGACGATGTGATAGTCTCAATATACACCGTGTTGTACGCACGATGTGGCGTGCATAGTATGGTACGTATGGTATGGTATGCACAGAGTGGTACCCACGACGAATTATGCGTGCTGCGGTACATGTATGGTATGTTCGGCACAGAACGTGTAACACACGTGTTGTAGACAGTGTGGTATGCTTGAGATGGTTCATATCCTACTGTACGTGTGCCATGTATGTTTACGTATGTGTTACATGTGTGTCGTGTGTGTTTATGTACGCTTGAGTTACATGTGTAGTGTGTGTGTTGTGTGTTACATGTGTGTGTTACGTGTTTGTATGTAATGTGGTACATGTGTGTTGTGTGTGTTACATGTGTATGTGTGTGTGTTGTCTCACGCCTCTTACAGAAATGTTGGGCAGGAGCTTCATGGCTGCCTGCAGGTCCTTGGTGGACAGGAACTGATCCGGTCCGAAGTCAGCCTGGTCCAGAATGGGATGGACAAAGATAATGACAAAAGGTGAGTCGGTGGTTGGGTGAGCGGATGAGGGACTGAGCGGGTGAATGGGTTCGCAGGTCATTGATTGGGCGAGGGAGTGGGTAGGTGAGCGGGCAAGTGGTTGGGTGAGCGGGTGGTTTATCGAGTTAGTGAGCTTGTTGATGGCATTGGGCATGGGTGGGCGAGTGAAGTGGGCGAACGGGTGGGTTGGTGCCTGTACGAGTGAGCGGGTGGGTTGGTAGATGGGCGAGCAGGTAAGGGTGGATGCTCACCCAGCTCAGAAGCTGCCTGGTCTTGGGCTCCTCCTTGGGTTTGATGAGGAAGTAGCGTTTCCTTATCCTCCACCCTGCGGGCACCATGATGTCACATCCAGCACCGTTATTTCTCAACGAGCGGGCACGCTAACCATGGTGCGTGTGGACATGTGCGTACGTACGTGCAGCACACTCTCGCAGTGGTGATATAGTGCTGATCCCTTACAAAGACCCCCCATATAGCCTTAACAGAACTTAGGAGCAAGTGCTGTTCGTGAGTTCCTATGAAGACTGGCACAGCACACGAGGTGGGTAACCAGCACTTTGTACGGCCTGTCTCCCTAGTGGCAATGTTTACACACAGTACCACACTCATTTGAGGCCGAGTCGACCTAGAGGAGGCCCAGGACCAGTGCAAATAATTGTCACTGGTGTTGACCATGAGCGGGAATCTAACACATCCCCATACATTCACCCTCACACATGCACACCCCTACCCATGTCACGTAGTGGCTCCACCACCTCCCATCGCGGCTCTGAGCGGAAGAACATGGACACTTGCTGCAGCGCGAGCTCTGGGCACCGGCGGGAATGGGCGGGAGAGGAGACACACGTACGAAAGTGAACGTGTCACGTGCAACAACACACAATAGCGGTTGTTGCAGTGATTGTTACTATTATGCGCGGTTGTTGTGTGGCTGTAGCAATTGCAGCGGGATAGTGTTTGTCGCTCCCCGGTTGTTGTGTGGTTGTTCCGGTAATGCTATGTTGTGGTTGTTGCTGTGGTATGTTTGTCACTGTTCGTGTGGTATGTGTATTTCCCCGGGTGTTACTGTAGTTGTGGCTGCTATGTGGTGTGGCGTGGTTTTTAGTTTACACAGCTACCGAGCACAGGCTCAAAAAGGCACAAACCGTCAAGCGGGCAGAAACAGCAGCACTATCAAAGTTGTGATAGATAAGGGTTCACACATTTCCGAATTGAGCAAGGTTACTTATTATAAAAGCTTGGGAAAATAGACGATGGGAAAGAATTCCAGAGTGGAGAAGTGTGAGGGAAGAAGCAGAAGATAAGTGAGGTTACCTGCAGTTTGGTGAGTGGGTGAGTGAGTGAGCGAGATGTTGTGACCTGCAGAGTGGTGGTTGCACACAGTGTGGAAGAGATGAAACAGCCGGCCTGGTGGAGTCCTCGACATGATACTGCGGCTGTAGTGCAGTAGTTGCAGTAGTGTGTTGATGCTGCCATTGCAGTAGCGTATTTGTCACTACAGTTGCGGTGTGGTCGCGCCGGTGGGCTCTCTCTCGCCTGCCACACACCGGTGTAGTTTGCCGGATAGGAGTCGGGGTCGAGAAAGAGGCGGACGGCGGTGCATGTGGCCAGCACAGGGTGCGCCGTGAGTGCGTCCAGGTAGAGCTGCAGCCCGCGCTGACGCTCAGCCACAAACTCCCGCTCCAGCTTCCCCAGCAGCCTCTTAGGGGGCAGAGCCAGCGGTACGCCCGACACCTGGAGCGCACGAGCCACCGCCACGATAGTATCACTACAGACCGCAGCATCTGATTATTATGTGCTCTTTATGACCTGGCGAGGGATACACAGACACCAAGACAAAGATCCCCCCCATGTAGCCTTTGACGCACTGTTGGGGCAAATGCTGTGAGCGAGAATCTAGCACACAAAGTTTCCATATGCAGCCTACATAACCTGTTGGAGAGACGGAGCTAAAAACTTGTCTGCAGGGTGGGAGGGAGCCTGTACAGGTTTTATATTAATAAAAAAAACAATGCATTTCCTCTGACGGAGGTTGTATTGTTGATTATTCTCACACAAGCTTATTTTGGCGTTTCTGCCGTGGTGCTTGGCAGAGCGGAGCGCCGGGCAGCTAAAATGCAGCTGTTGGCACAGTGGGGGGTATAGCTGGTGCATCTACCAGTCATCTCAGTCAGCCAACCCCATGGCACCTGGGTCTGTCCCGAGACCTCCTGTCAGCGAGCCTTCGACACCTCACGTGGCCTCAAAGTGCACCTGGCCTGGCACAGGCGCCGTGATGATGTCACCATCACTTAGTGGCGAATGGCAGGTATTGGTGTTGATTGGTATTATGGTAAATGTGGTTGGTAGTAGTGGTGGTGGTAGTGATGGTAGTGGCAGTGAGTGTTGGTAGTGGTCATCGTGATGGCAGTGGTTGTGGTTGTTGTGGCACATGTTTACATCTCACCTGAAGGCTCGTGTTGAGAGCGTCAAAGTCGCTATATCTCTTTTTGACCTGGTGAGGGATACACAGACAAAGAAAGCGATCCAACGTAAAGCCATAATAGACTCATAATAAAGATTTTTGGGTTAGATCACGTAAGTATAAATGCGTCGTAACCCTCCACCACCTGACACAGACAATTAGTAAGGGATGTGTCCCGTAAACAAACCGCCAATTAGTTACTACTGCAGCCCACCAGCTGTGTTGGAGAGTAAATCCACAACATTTACAATTTGATTACGACGTTTCGCTAGTAATGACATCCAGCATCATCGGGCGATTTGTCACGTAAAAGTTTCGTTTACCAATTGGCCTGTGTCGGGTGGTGGAGGGTTTGCAACACATTTATACTTATGCGATCTCACCCAAAAACCTTTATGATGAATATCGGTCGCGAAAGCCTACGTGTTACACCATAACAGACTGTTGGGCCCAGTGCTGTTAGCGACCACCTATAAAGCGTGGCACGGCGGCACATGATGAGTGGCCCACACCACGCCCGGCTGCCTTTTCCTCTACACAAACACGCACAGCGATGCCGATGGTGGTGATGGTGACGACGATGATGATGACGATGGTTCTCTGTACCTGCCAGCTGTTTTCGGGATTGGGTCCCCGTTGCACTCGCACGACGTATTCCTGCAACACGCACACACGAGGTGGAGGGTGGGGGGGGGCAAACGGTGGCGTGTGACGGTGCGAACACGGAGACGGCCCAAAGCAACCTCACCACGAGCCCCGAGAGAGCCCAGCTTCACTCTGCCCGCCCCCCTTCATAACAATCACACGCACAGCCACTGTTGTCAAATGCACTGCTGAATGAGGGCCTCCCCACATAGTTCGGGTCGTGAAGTGACGAGAGGAGGGTAAACCGAAGACGAGTGGGGGAGTGACCTGGCGGGGGCTTCAGGGTGACTAGGGGGGAGGGGGGTGACTCGAATGCGTTAAAACTTGTGGGGTAACTGGAGGATGGATCGAAGGTGACTGGGGAAGGCCGAGGACTCGAGGCGGTGCTCATCACCTTTAAAGCCCTGAGCCAGTGATGGAAACTCCACATTCCTATGGTGGGGCGAGTCTATCCACATTAAACCCACTGTTGACTTCCGCACAACGTGGTATTTATTTGTATTGAACCCAGAAGCAGGAATGGGATCAATTACCCCACAACCAGGCTTTGAACTCACAACCTTCCGATTTGGAGCGCTACCGCTGGGCCACCTGGCCACGGTGGCTGAAGGGTGAGTGTGGGGGGTAAGTGTGGGGTGGGTGTGGTGTGAGTGTGCGGGGTGAGGGTGGGGTGGGGTGAGGTGAAGGTGGGGTGAGTGTACGGGGTGAGTGTGGGGTGAGTGTGCGGGGTGAGGGTGGGGTGGGGTGAGGTGAAGGTGGGGTCAGTGTACGGGGTGAGTGTGGGGTGAGTGTGCGGGGTGAGTGCGGGGTGAGTGCGGGGTGAGTGTGCAGGGGAGTGTGGGGTGTGCGGGGTGAGTGTGCGGGGTGAGTATGCGGGGTGAGTGTGGGGTGAGGGTGGGGTGAGGTGAAGGTGGGGTGAGTGTACGGGGTGAGTGTGGGGTGAGTGTGCGGGGTGAGTGTGGGGTGAGGGTGGGGTGAGGTGAAGGTGGGGTGAGTGTGGGGTGAGTGTGCGGGGTGAGTGCGGGGTGAGTGTGCAGGGGAGTGTGGGGTGAGTGTGCGGGGTGAGTGTGCGGGGTGAGTATGCGGGGTGAGTGCGGGGTGAGTGTGTGGGGTGAGTGTGTGGGGTGAGTGTGTGGGGTGTGTGGGGTGAGTGTGTGGGGTGAGTGTGTGGGGTGAGTGTGGGGGGTGAGTGTGGGGGGTGAGTGAGTGGGGTGAGTGTGCTTCCTCACCGTGTGCGTGTGCACGTTGTGCGCCGCCTCGATGAAGCAGGCGAGCGGGGCCGTGTCGTCCACCAGCACCTTGCTGGGCGCGCGCTTCTCCAGCAGAGACATCGCCGGGGAGCGGAGCAGGATGCACCTGAGCCTGGGGCCCCCCACCACCAATGAGACCCCCTATCCCCTGAATTAATTAGTCCAAGAAATCTCTACCCGCTGGGACCCCCCCAAACCTGAGACCCTACCCCTAAAAGTCCGAACCTTCGAACCCCTTCCACAGAACACCCCCCCACCCCACCCCGACTCGTCGGGATCCCGACCCCGGGGACCGCCGCCGAGGCGCTCAAATGACCTCTCCCCTAAGACCCCCTGGCCCTGACAGCCCCTACCCCGAGAACCACGACCAGCTGAGACCCCTTCCCAGGAGGAGACACCTCAACCCCGGGGACCCCGGGGACCTCGCCCGGGCCACGGCGCTAGTCGAGTCCCGGTGCCGCGGGGGTGCCGAGCGCGCTGGAGGCCCAGGCGAGACGAGACGAGGCAGTGGGAAGGGAGGGGAGGAGGACCTCGACTCGTTGCGCGATTTCCCCCTGCTTAAAAGAGGCCTCGCGTTGCTAGGCGACACCTTAATGAGGTTGCCGATGGTGATGATGGTGGTTGGTGATGGTGGCTGTGATGAGGTGGGGGGGGTGGGGGGGGGCTCCGTTGCCCCGGCAACCGCAGCTCCGGTCCCTCGTGAGCGGGGGAGGGGGGGGGAAGCGGAGTCACGTGTCACGTGCCGCTGCGTCACGTGGCATTGTTCTCGGCGAATCGATGAGAGAGCCCCGTCGCTTTAGCCCCCCCCTCTCTGTCCATCCCCCACGGCCCCCACCCCTCTCACCCGAGAGCAGGAAGTGACGTGCGTAGTCGCGTTGCTCGCTCATTGGTCGGATTTAGCGGTTTCCCACGGTCCGGGTCGTTGAGGCCCCGCCCTCCCCCGGCCACGTGATATGCAAATGAGTGTCAAGTGCCGGTCACGTCCGCGCCCCGTGATCGCTTGTGTCGGATTCCACGTTCCCAGGGCGGGGCCCGGGTTGGTTCACGACGGCCACTTGTTCACTGTTGATTCCCCACTCTAGTGGTGCCTATTTAATACTAATAATAACTACATGTGTATAGCGCTTGTCATACAGGATCTCAAAGCGCTGTACAGGACACAGCAGCAGCAGCACTCAGCATAAAAGTAATATAAATACATCTTGTTGGTTCTTTCGGTAAAGTCACGTCGAAGGGAAATAATAAAAATATAAAATAATATAAATTTTCTACGTGACTTTACCGAAAGAAACAAGAATATGAATCCCTGCAGCCACGAAAGCTTTAAATAAAAATAATATAAATACAATTAAATTATAATTTACTTTTTAAAAAACCGGTATTGTGCTGACGCTTATTTCGCAAACTGCACTTTTGATCGTGCTGACTGAGTCCCGTGTTGGTTTGATCGACAGTGGAACGTGGCAAATCTATTGTGGAGGCCGGTAGTGGTCAGCGCAGCAATATCCAACCTGCTCCCCACCTGCAACCAAGTGGAGGGAGACATCCCCCACGACCCACGGGGCGCTGGATGGCCCTCGTCCAGCAGGGGTCGTAAATTGGGGCATATTTGCTCATGCCGTGACTTGCTTGGATTGGCTCTGTGATGTGGTGGAAGGCTATAGTAAAATAAGTAATATTTAAAAAAAAACTTTTTAAAAGCACACTTTATTGAAATGTACCGTACTAGCAATGGAAGAACTCCACGACTCCAGGAAGTGGCCCCAAAGCTTCCCATAACGTAAGGGATCGTGGCTAATTAAGCCAACGTCAGTTGACCGTGGACAATTAGACCCAAGCCGAAACACAACATATACATTTTCTTGCTGTGGATTTCACACCTGATGATGATTGCTTGTGTTGTAGTCGAAACGTCGTGAGAATTTTTATTGTTTTATGTTTGTATTATTTTATTATTACCCTTCTACGTGACTTTACCGAAAGAACCAAGAATATATAAAAAAAGATGGTTTAAAAATATATTTAATTTTTTATGATAGAATATAGTATTGTCATCAGTATGACATAAGTATACCAAGTTTGCAGTCGATACCACATTGGGAAGTGGGTGAAAATTGAGTTAGAAGATTTGAGGATACAACAGACAGTGAGTTAATAAAAAGCGTTTAAAAACACACAAAACGATCTTACCCAAAATAACCTAATTACGGATCATAGCGCCTTATTGTTGTTTTCTGTCTTGCAGAAATGTTTAAGTTGGTTTAGGGTACAACATGCGTTTAGAGTACAGTATTTGGCGGCTATACATTTCCACGTAAGCCACTTCGTTGAGCTATCATTTGTGGCCAGTACTCTTCTGACAAAGAGCTTTTTATCGCTCAGTGGGCCTTACATGGTAAAATAAAAAGAGAACAGTTCAGTAGTGCAATTTTATTGAGGAACTGTGTGTTGTCTTGGTTCGGTCTGGGACTTGTTGTTTTGCTGCCTTGCCAAAGCTTGCATTTATACTGGTAGGAACCTCCAGGTTACACCAGCCCACAGGGGATTATTGTGTCCGTCCGTCGTGCATCAAAAAATGGGAGGGGTGGGGCTGGGTGGAGAGGGGAGGGTGGGGTGGTGCTGGGTGGGGGGTGGGTGGGTGGGGAAGGGCTAGTCACCCCGTAATTCCCTTATAAAACTCAACGTTTAACCTACTCACGCCGGCTTGTGCCCGCCCTCACAGTCGGGCATATTTGCGGAATACACCACGCCGTAGTTCACCCTGGCCATTGACCGAGCAACCCAACGTTCCTACCAGCTCCCTCCGCAGGAATGTGTTTGTTGAAAAATCAACGGGAGTTTGCGTACCTAAGCAATTAGTAAAAAAAAAACATTTTATTTATTTATTTCCATGACTTGCATACCTTTCTCTATTTTGCACTCCTATTGCATACCTGTCAACTTCTTATCAGTGCCCTACCTTATTACAGACCAATTGAGACCTTATTGCTCACCCCGTGCCCTTATAAATCTCAACGTTCATCCTGCAAAGTCCCATCACAAGGGAGAAACACAAATAGACGAAACAATGGTGCCTATATTGAAACGGCTGTACTCCGTATTGACCTTAAAATTCAAGTTCAAGTTCATGTATTAGGTATAGCCCTGTGAGCCATTCGGCTCTTTAATCGGGTGCAACCGCAACAAACCAAAAACAAAATCATGAACAAGAAAACATCTTAAAGTGACTATGTGACTGAGTGCAAGCAGAAAAACCAAGAAAAGACAGCAAAATAATTGCAGAAAAAAGCACCGTACACCAACGCTGTGTACAAAAATCCCAGTGGGATGCAAGTCAAACAACAACAACCACAAGACAACTTAGATTAAGGCCATCAGTCGAACTCCGTACTGCAACAAACATGGCCAAACCAAAAAACTTTTCGAAATCACCAAAATAAAGCCATAAAAGCAATGTAACAGTGATCATAGGAACTGACGGAATTTTCACAATAAACGACATAAACAACATGTATTACCAAACCCTGCAGCCATAGCTGGCTGCATGAGTCACTCCACAACAGCAGGAGCATCAGTAGGAGTATCATAATTTTTCAATGCACCTTTAAGATCAGCACATGAAATCAAAACACAGATCATACTTTGCAGCGGTCATCCGGAGCGAAACATTTTATTTCAGGCCACTGAATTACAGTGGCAGCTAGGGGTGTACAACTCCTATAGAGCAGTTTTGAGTGAAGATCTCATAGGTAGTGACTCAAGTTGCAGTTTATTGGCAATAGCATTCCAGACCCTGGGGGCATCAATAGCAAAGGCTCTTCCTCCAGTATTTGTACGGCAATAGGGAATGTGAAGCTGGTAAATGAGCGTAGACCGTTAGGTCACATTTGTTCTTTGAAACAGAGAGGAAGATCCAGCAGGTAGTCTGCTTATTTTTTTGTAAGTACATCAATTTCCCTGTACAAGAATACGGATAAACCGTATAGGTTGACAGCTCTGCTATTGTTTGTTGTAAGTTGCTGACACGCCCCTACCGGACATCCGTAAAAAAAAGAACTTCATAGCTCATCGGATTCCTCCATCCGGTCTAAATAAAGATTATTGACACAGCACAGCCCCTCGGTTTATCGGGACTACGCAATTCAAAACGGCTGCGTAACCGTGCTAGAGAATTAAAATCGTTTCCGTCAGCCAATGAGAACTCTCCGCGCCGTGACGTCACAAACTGTTGTTTTTTTCCCTCTCGAGTCACGTGCGACGAGGAGTCACGTGCGATGAGGAGTCACGTGGGTCTCGCGGGGGAGGGGAGGGGCTCAGAGGGGGGGGGGGTGTCACGTGACCGGGGTAGATCAGCTGATCGGGTCCCACGTGCAACAGAGGAACGGTCGGGGCGTTGCTGCTGCTGCTGGTGGTGGTCGTGGTGCCGACAGGAGACGCACACACAGTGAGTGAGTGGGGGGCTACGGTGGCTAGGAGACGTTAAATACCTCGCCTGGTACACAGGAGGTCGTGGGTTCGTTCACGACCCTGACGCCTGTTGCTGTGTATTTGGAGTTTGCGTGTTCTCCCCGTGGTCGCGTAGATTTTTCTCCGGTTCCTCCGGGTTTTTCATCCACTTTTAGTTAGAATCGTGCGTTTAGAGTATTTGGCTGCTATATATTTTCACACCATAAGCCACTTTGTTGAAATATCGTCTGTGGCCAGGTCGCTTTTGAAAAATATCTATATGGCCCAGTGGGCCTTACCTGGTAAAATACAAATCTCAAAGAAGAAAAAAACTTGTATTGTGTAAAATAATAATTGTTTATAGTTTGTTTTAGTGGGTGGCCCTATCTCAGAGAGTCTGCGGACGGGGCTCGTGAATGTCGCGACCTCCAGCAATAAAAGAGGGAAGAGGAGCGATGCTCACAACAACGAGCAGATCGCCGGGCGGATAAAACGCAGAAAGTTAACACTGTCGGAGCACAATTGGTGGCATCTACCAGCCATTCTAAGTCGGTGAGCCCATGCGAATTTTCACGTGGCCTCAAAGTGCACATCCACTTGTACACCTAGATTGAAAACTCGTTTCTTTCGAACGGATTTTTTGTGTTTTCGTTTCGTGTCTTCCTCCTCCCACCTCCGATTATCACGGTTGGCGACGTACGGTGCGAAAGAAGTTCAACATTTATACATATCCTGACGTCACCGCCACTTAGTGGTGAACGGCGGCTGTTGTTGTTGTTGTTGATTCTGCGAGTGTAAACATCATCACGGGGGAGACGAAGGCGGCCGGGTCGTGGTCCTGGTCACACCGCCCCCTCGTCCTGTGCCGTTCCTTTCCGGCCTTAATAGGTTCTCGCTAACAAACACTTGCTCCGACAGTTGAAGGCTATAGGGGGATCTTTGTCTTTATGTATATATAGTTTATGTGTGTGTGTATAATTCATGCGTACTGTATGTAATATGTACTTTATACTGGTAGGAATCTCCTGGTTACACCAGCCCACAGGGGATTATTGTGTCCGTCCGTCGTGCATCCAAAAATTGGAGGGGTGCGGCTGGGTGGAGAGGGGAGGGGAGGGAGGGGCTGGGTGGGGAGGGTGGGGCTGGGTGGGGGGTGGGAGGGATGGGGCTGGGTGGGGAGGGGCTGGTCACCCCGTGGTGCCCTTATAAAACTCAACGTTTAACCTACTCACGCCGGCTTGTGCCCGCCCTCACAGTCGGGCATATTTGCGGAATACACCACGCCGTCGTTGACCCTGGCCATTGACCGAGCAACCCAACGTTCCTACCAGCTCCCTCCGCAGGAGGAATGTGTTATTTTGAGTTTGCGTGTTCTCTCTCATTCTCCACGTTGTGGATTTTTCTCCAGGTCACCCGGCTTTTCTTTCACCGCATTTATAATAAAAATGCGTTTAGAGTATCTGGATGAGGGGCCGTCCATAAATGACGTCACGCACCTAGGGGGGCGGGGGGTCAGACATTTGTGACGATGTGTGACGAGGGGGGGGGGGGTTGAGAAATGTGACGTCACATCAAAATGCGCAACTTTAAATAAATATAGACGACACGTTCCACTTAATTAAATAGACTTTTTAATTAATGTTTTCTCCTAGAGCATCAGAGTGCAGCGCCACATTAAATACGCACTACAATGACAATAGTTTAAAGCGATTTGAAGCATGTGTTTTTGGGGGGGGGGGGCAGAGCTTTGTGACGTCATATTTGAGGGGGGGGGGTCAAAAATCGTCCAAAATCGCGTGACGTCATTTATGGACGGCCCCAAAGAGTTGACAAGGTGCGTTGAATTGAGCGAGGTAATCACTTTTGTAAGAGCGCTTGGGAGAGAAGAGAGAGAGAGAGACGGTGGGAGGGATTGATGCCACAGTGGGGCAGTGCGAGGAGGAGTCTCCCGGGGGTGGGGGGGGGGTTGTTTGACCATACTTCACCACGCTGGTCAGTGCGGGTTGGTAAATAGGATGGGGGGGGGGGGCTGTGGTTGGTGGTGGAGAGACGCAGGGCCAGTTGAGATGTTCGCCACTGATGTTAGCCGTGCCTGGGATTTGAACTGGGCTGGCGAGGTTAATAGCGCGTGGTAATAATCCTGACGCAGCTGCTGCATTTAGCTTCAGCGCTTCTCCAGTTAATGGTTAACGCGAACATCTGTGCTCAGCTCAAACCACCTGTTAATTCAGCCTGCACTTAGAGGATTTTAAATTTAATTTATTAGGTATAGTCCTGTGAGCCATGCGGCTCTTGAGTCGGGTGCAACCGCAACAAACAAAATATGAACGAAGAACATCTTAAAGCGACGACGCAGAACAGAAACATCCTGGAATAAACCAGCAAATCTTCCAAAAAAAACGCTGTGTGCAAAAATCCCAGTGTGATGCAAGTCAAACAATAACAACCAGAATACAACTTAGATTACCCATATGTTTTCGAAATCAAAATAACGCTATAAAAACAATGTAACAACAGTAATAGGAACTGTGATTAAAATTTTACAATAAACAATATATATAACATGTACGACCAAACTTTGCAGCCAGGATGAATGTACGCAGCCGCTGTGCCACTCCACTCTACTGCTGGATGGATGAGAAAAGCCCCAAGCACGCCGTATTGGTCATGGGGGCGGGGGGGAGGGGGGTTTATCGACCATACTTCACCACGTTGGTCCATGCTGGTTTTGTTTCAAGTGTGTTCGTTTGCTTAGAACTCGGGGCGCTGTTCAGATGTCACTCGCCGCTGATGTTCGCCGGGGTCGGGAATTCTAATTTTAAAATTCGTTAGGTTCGAAGCGCAGTGCGCTAACCACTGCGCCACCACTCCACCACCGTGCTTTTATTCTATCGTAGTGTACATTATTTGGTGACGCTCTTGTGTTGCTAGTGGTGCATAAGGGACAATAAAACTCAACACGTTCGTTAATAACACTGCGTGCCCTTAAAATCATATATGATATGCGAAGTTTTGGGAAATGGCACTTTATTGTGTTTTACCATGAAACGTCGCCCATCATATATTTTTCTCTCAGGTGCCACGCAGTGTTATTGGCACGTGTGCTGGGTTGCTTGTATAATGACACACGTGTTTCTGTATTCCCTGTGGACTTGTCGGGGTTGTTTGGCCTGGGGGGGGGGGGGGTTGGGGGGGTGCACACAGGGGAGGCCGTCGCGTCCCACGCTTTGCAGCGAGCGTCGGGTCTGCATTCGGCTCCCCGGACTCGGTGCGACATGAGTTGGACTCCGTGTGAAGGGGCTCGGGGTGACCGGTGCCCACTCCCTGCTCTCAGCCTCGTTTGTGTTTTGCCCGTCTCAGCTGGCACGTCCTCGTTTTGTTCGTCATGCGTGTAGTAGCTTCGTGTGTGCGGTCCGTTTGTTTTGATCACCTTGTTGGGACCGTTTATATTATTATACTTGTTATCCCAAGAAAGCCTCACCTAATCTCAAAACTTTTTCAGGAGGATCCTGTCAAGTTTTTTCGCAGTAGCCAGGGGGGGGGGGCAATGTGGCTGCTGTGTGTGATCCGAATTCAGTGATTTGCAGGAAATATGCTCCGCATTGGGATGTATCATACCGGTTACACTCTGTGTGTGTCGTGTATTTAGCTGTGGAAGGAAACCGGAGAACCCGGAGGAAACCCATGTAGAACGGAGAGCGAGAGAGAGAGATGGCGTACAAACTCCACGTAGAAAGGCACCGAGTCGGGAATGAAACCCAGACCCTCCTTGCTGTGAGGCACGAGTGTCACCACCACACCACCAACCCTGCCACCCGCTACGTGTCGCTGGTATTGAAATCTGTAAACGGCGAGAGGGCACCCACCATCGCAACAGAGTTATAGTGCGGGCCCAGAAACCATGCACGCCACTCGGCCTCTGAAACACACAACTTCAGGAACTGCTGATGGTTTTGGCACGATGCATAGAGACCGCATGCTTTTTACACGTTTTTATTGTCAGGCTCGTGTTATGTCTACCTTTTTTACGCCATGTCTGGTTTATACTGCCTCGTTCGTTACGAACGGTCGTATTTACAGTCTGTATGTTGAACTCCTTTCGTAGTGTACGTAGCCAACTGTGCTCATCTGAGATGCGGGAGAAGGACCCCCCCCCCCTCTCTATCTCTCCCCCCTTGCTCCTCCCCCCTCTCTTACCTATATAGCCTCTTGTTACAGCAGCCCTTTTGCCCACTTCAGCAATTGTTTCTTGCTGTGGTTGTCCCACCTGATGACGGACGCTTGTGTTGCGCCCAAAACGTCGTAATTAAATTAAATTTATTTTATACCTACGTGACTTTTTCCGAAAGAACCAAAGAGTATGGAAGGACAACACCTAAAGGGAGCGATTCCACGAGGTTCACAAGCAGCTGAATCATCGTTATCCCCCCCCCCCCACCAGCGCGTGTCACGCTACCCAGGGTGATGGCGACCAAGCGGCTGCCTGAGTTGCTGACCCGGGTTCGGACCGAGCTCGACCACGTCATGGCGTTCTGGCTGCGGCACTCGCATGACCAGGAGCATGGGTACGGCGCAGAGGGGGGTGGCACCCACGTCCATACTTCCTAGCCTGACCTCTTGACCCCCTGACCTCAGACCACACACCTCGGGGATGAAAAAGGCTCCGCAGTCGTCGTTATCATTGTCACCTATGATAACTTTCCTGTCAGTATTGTCATAATAATCAGCAGCAGCATCATTGTATCATCATAGTCATTGTGATCATAATCCACAAACGCATCATCATTGTCATTATTACCATCATTCTCAGCATTACTATCATCAGCGTCATCATTGATATCAACGCTGCACGATAATCTTAATTTTCATCATCATTGTCTTTACATATTATCATCACAATCATCGTAGTCGTCATTGCCATCGTTTTTAGCTATGTAATCAAATTATCGTCATTGCTACTGACGGGACCTTCCCAATCTCCCCACCCCAAATCTCACCGCAGCTTCCTCATCATGACCATTGTTTATCATCACCATTGTTGTTGTTGCTGCTGCTGATGAGACGGCCCGCACTGTGGTCCCCCACCCCCCCACCCACTCCCCACCTCGCGGCTTGCGATCAGAGGCTTCTTCACGTGCCTGGGCCGCGACGGTGCCGTCTACGATGAGCTCAAGTATGTGTGGCTGCAGGGACGGCAGGTGAGTGGCGCTACCTTCAGCCGTCTCCCCTCAGCCCTCATCTCTAAATCCCTCACCTCAGCCCCCAGTGTCTCACCTGTACAGCGGTGGATCCAAAGGTGGGCGATGGAGGTGATCGCTCCCCCCCCCAAAAACCTGAAATCTGATTTTCACTAGTAGATTTTCTTTAATAATTAATTGTCTGTGACAAAAAATAAGGCACGTTGTGAATACAACAACACCAGAGACAATACGTGCCATGTTTTGTAATCCACGTGGGGCACTGTACCGCATCTCCTCACCGTACTTGACCACACCGTGGGGAAGCATCGTTGGAGATGGGGGACCGTCGCAAGTCGGCGTAGGTTGCACACGTTGCCTGGCGTCTCACCAGGCACCCGACGAGTGTGGGCGCCACGACTCGACCTACTGAGTGTTGGAGGCTCACGATGATGATTCACCAACTCGCAAGCACCGCCGTGTGTGCCTTGTGCGTGTGTGCTGCGTGTGTGTGTGTGCTGCGTGTATAGGTGTGGATGTACTGCCGTCTGTATCGCGAGCTGCCCAGGTTCCGCACGCCACAGATCCTTGAGGCGGCCAAAAAAGGTCCGCACCCAGCTCATCACTTGGCGCTCGCTACTCACCGCTCACCACTCGCCGCTCGCGGCTTACCACTCACCACTCGCTGCTTACCGCTCGTCGCTCAACACTCGCCGGTCACCATTCGCAACTCACCACATCTCCAACAACAATGCTCACACAGTGCCTATCGTGTTCGCCGCACGGTGCCCCATACACTGCTTACTTGTGTTCCTCACACCACACCAAGCATGCTCTGCTGCTTACCACGCCTCCAACCACCAGCCTCGTCCTAACCAGATCACCTGTAGAGCTTGGACTGTACCACTGTGCACCCCATCCCTGTGTCCCCCCCCCCCCCACCTGCCCCCCCTATGCGGCGGTGCCTGTCGGACCGTGCTACTGTGCTCCGCCAGGGGGGGAGTTCCTGCTGTGCCATGCGCGGGTCTCCGCAGACTCGCCCAAGTGCGCCTTTGTGCTGACACGTGACGGCCGTCCCGTCAAGGTTCAGAGGACCATCTTCAGCGAGTGCTTCTATGTGCTGGCCATGAGCGAGCTGGGCCGTGCTACCGGCGACGCCAAGTACACGGTGCGTGGGCTATGGGGGGGTGGGGGGGGGGCACGGTGGGCGGCGGGGAAGAGGGGTCCACGGGTGATGGGGGGCGCACCAGGGGGGGTCACGGAATTAGGGGGGACGGCGCGGGGTTTAGCGGTTCGCAAGCCGCGCTATGAAACCGTCGAGCCGAATTCGATTCGCGCTCACGGCCAACATCAGTGACGAATGTTTGAACCACGAGGTCGACTCAGCCTTAAATGATACTGCTGGCCACCCACTCCATCATATGCCATGCCAGCCTTAATAAGGTGCTCGCTAACTCTGCTTGCTTTAGAGTCGCAGTCATTGGTGAAATAATGTGCCCATTACAAATTGCATTATTATTGATAGCCGGTTAAAAGCTGCATGGGACGTCGTTGTGCGGGAGTTTGTTTGCGTGCACACGTGTGCATGTCTACGCATGTGCCCGTGCCTCTCCTTGCACGTACGTGTGTACGTGTGTGCGTGTGTCATGTGCGTGCCCGTGCATGCATTTCCATCTCAGGTGGCCGCCAAGGAGATGATGTCACAGATCGTGCGCTGGGTGCGCGAGGACCCCTCCGGCCTCGGGCGTCCGCAGCTCTCCGGCGCGACACCCGACAGCTCGCTCGCCGTGCCCATGATGTTGCTGTGCCTGCTGGAGCAGATGGAGGAGGCCAGCGAGGAGGGGGAGGGGGCGGCGGGCGGGGGCGATGGCAATGCGGAGCTGGGCCGCTGGTGCGTCGACCGGATCCTCAAACACCTGCAGGTGCGAGCGTCTGCTTGCGCTCCTCACACGAGCGATGGACGGGAGAGCCGATCTCACGCCGGGCAGTGTGGGAGACCGCAAACATTGGCCCGGTTAAACCCCTCTTTTCGCGGTTACCACCATCGCCACCATCACCGCCACCATCACCGCCACCATCACCGCCACCATCGCCACCATCGCCACCATCGCCACTCGGCCATCTCGGGGCTCGCTGCCACCCATCCCCCTCCATCCCCGCTACAAGCATAGTAGCCACGGTGCCCTCACCTCCTCCACAAGCGGGAACATAGAGAATCAGCCAAACACAGCAACAAAGAGTGGAACACGCCGTGACTCTGCGGGTCGCTGTGTGAGTCCGTGGATCGCCGTGTGAGGATATGTGTGCATGTGTGCGTGTATGTATCCGTGTGTGTGCGTGTGTATCCCTGTGTGTCTGTACCCGTGTGTGCGTGTGTGACAGAGGGGCGGCTCCGTCGTGCTGGAGACGGTCACTCCCGATGGTGAGGAGCTCCCGGGCAGCGCCGGGCGCCTACAGAACCCGGGTAACCAACAGAGCGGTGCTGCCCATACCGATAGCACTGCTGCTGCTGTCTGTGGTGATGCTGGTTGTATTGGTGATGCTGGTTGTATTGGTGATGCTGGTTGTATTGGTGATGCTGGTTGTATTGGTGATGCTGGTTGTATTGGTGATGCTGGTTGTATTGGTGATGCTAGTCCTACTGATAGTGCTGCTGGCGGTGGTGATGCTGTCTGTGCTATTGTTGATGATGCTATCGTCATGCTGATAGTGGTGCTGGCTGTTCTACGGCTGCTGGTTCTAGTTGTGCTGTGGTGGCGACAGAGTTGCTGGTGGTGCTGCTGTTTGTGCCAATACTGGTCCTACTCTTAGGTTTTTTCGGTAAAGTCACGTAGGGAAAAATAATAAATAAATAATAAGCTTTGATGTAATATTAATCTTTATATAATAATAATAAATAAATCAATAATAAAAAGAATAGAAATAATATTATTATTTCTATTATTTTTTATTTTTACCTACGTGACTTTACCGAAAAAACCTAAGAGTATGAATCCTTGCAGTCACGAAAGCTTCAAATCTAGAATTAATACTGGTCCTCGTTGTGGTGAGATTGTCCGTGGTCCTGGTAATGGTGCTGATAGAGGTTATGGTTGTGGTGGTGGAGTTGTTGCTGTCTGTGCTTGTGCTAATAGTCGTGTTGGTTGTGTTGTATGTATGTTGAACTTTTTTCGCACTGTACGTAGCCAACCAGACTAATCGGAGGTGCAGGGGAAGGACAACAAACTAAGCACAAAAAGCAGTTCCAAATAAATTAGTTTTCAATCGAGATTTAAAATTGCATAGCTCCAGTGACTTCCTAATATCAGAAGGAAGAGTGTTCCAGACCGCTACAGAAGCGCATCTGAAAGCATGCGATGCGGTGACCGTCTTTGTTCAGTGGTCAGCCAAAGCCACTGCTGCGAGGATGGCCGCAGTTCGCGTGATGGTTTATGCTCCTTGACGAGATCAGCAAGGTGCTGTGGTTCATCTTCTTGGTTCTTTCGGTAAAGTCACGTAGAAGGGAAATAATAAAATAATACAAATAAAACATAATAAAATATTTTTTATATTATTTTATTATGTTTTATTTTATTATTAGAAGGGAAATAATAAAATGTACGCATAATAAAATAATTATTATATGTTGGCTATCAACAACAAGGCAACTCCTATGACTAATTGGGAATGGGACGCAAGCGTAGGATTGATCACCCTGTCGCTGGCCGCCTTTGGGGAGGGTGTATAGTGTGAAAGGCCGAAACACCCTAGGAACCAAAGGTACACTACTGACGATGCGCTCTCCAAATTTCACCAGGCTCACTGTTCATGAACTCTTGGAAGTGCTTGCACAAAGGATAGTAACATCTCATCCTGTGTTCTTGGAATTTTTATTATGTATTATTTCCTTTCTACGTGACTTTACCAAAAGAACCAAGAAGATGAATCCCTGCAGTCACGAAAGCTTTAAATCGAAATTTATTGTGGTTCATTAGTAGCAAGCACTTTTGTGTGCAATTCGTGTGGCCACTGCTGACACTGTTGTGGTGGTGGTGGCTGCTCTCGGGGGGTCCCAGGCCACGCCATCGAGGCCGGCTGGTTCTTGCTGCAGCGCGCGTCGCGCCTTGGAGACGCGGCACTGGCACGCACGGCGCTCGCCAGCTTCGTGGATGCCCCCTTCAGTGCCGGCTGGGACCCCCAGCACGGGGGGCTCCTCTACTTCCTGGATGCCGACGGGCTGCCCCCCACACAGGCACGGGCAGCCATGGCCACACACACACACTGCATTCTCGTCATCATCGTCGTTATCGTTGTCATCGTCGTCATCGTCGTCGTCATCGTTTTGATCGTCGTCATGATTGTCGTCATCATCATCGTCAGCCACATTGGCAGATCCTGGGGGAGGGAGCGATTTGTGCGATGCCCCCCCCCCCCAAGACCTTGAGAACCCACGTTTTTTATTGACATTTACTCGAGAAAATACGCGGCCTGTTTTTTAATGTTCGGCCCTATTTAAAAGTATTACATCTTGGGACTGCCCCCCTTTGGGAAGTTTCTAGATCCACCCCTGATCAGCCATGATCTATCCACTGCTGCGGTGAAGCCTTCCCGAGCCGTGTCCATCCCTCGTGGTGCCGCGACGTAACAGCACGCGTTGCTCCGTCTCCGCAGTGGATGTGCTCTTGGGCACTGCCGCTCCGTCGCTCATCTCGACCACTGGCACATCTATGCACCCTGCGGGTGCAGATGTACACTTGTGCATGTGTCCACGTGCGCGTGGACTTGGTCGTGTGTGTGATATTGTGGACGTGTATCTGATTGTGTGTATACTTGCGATTGTGTGTGTCCCTCCTGCGGGGCGTGTGCAGTTGGAATGGTCCATGAAGCTGTGGTGGCCACACTGTGAGGCGCTCATCGCCTTCCTCATGGCATTCCGCGAGACCCGCGAGGCCCGCCACCTCGACTCCTTTACCCGCGTCTTGGACTACTCCGTCTCTAATGTGCGTACCGCCATGGAGCTCCCACCAGCTTCACCACCAACTCCACCGACACGTCCACCACCAACATGACCAACAACAACATCATCACTTCCACCATCAAGATGACCAACACCACCAACTTCGTCGTCATCGCCACCTCCACGATTAACACAAACAATAACGCCACCACCACCTCCACTACCAAGAACAACACCATCACTTTCACCACCACCATCACCACCTCTACTACCAACACGACCAACACCACCATCCTGGGAGCGATGACACTTGTGCTGATGTGCGGGAGCGAGATGGATTGTTCCACGGCAGGACTGTGAGCGATGGCGACGGCCTTCATCCCGCGGTGGATAGACCATGGCTGATGATGACGGTGATGTTGGCCGTGTTTCTCTCGTCTTCGTCCATAGTTCTCGGATGCCGATCACGGAGAATGGTACGGGTACCTGGACCGCCAAGGCAGCGTCACGCACACGTTCAAGGGCGGCCCCTTCAAAGGTAGCGCGGTCACGTGGTCAGCCGTCAGACGTGTACACGCGCGCGTGTGTGTAATGGGCTAGTGGGGAGCGGCAGTGTAGTAGTTAGCGCGCCGTGCTACGAACCCAGCGACCCGAGTTAGATTCCCGCTCACGGCCAACACCAGTGACGATTATCACTGGTGTTGGCCGTGGTGCTGGCCACCCACCCCCTCGTGTGCCGTGCCGGCCTTCAAAGGTGATCGCTAACAGCACTTTCCCCAACAGTCTGTTACGGCTATACAGGTCTCTTTATCTTTTGATGAGCTACTGTGTGAACACCACCGCCATCATTATGGATAGGTGTACCTTGGACTCAGAATCAGCATCTTTATTTAGACTGGAGGAATCCGATGAGCTATGAAGCTCTTTTTCAAAGACGTCCAGTGCTTTCCGCCGATCATCTCTATTCCAAGCCAAGCCTAGCAGCAGCTGGACACATATAGAGTGAGAAATGAAGCCCTGTTGTGTCCATAATCTCCAAATTATTAGTCGCCACTACCACCGTGAACACATCAGTCAATAATTGGCTGAAAACAACTTGAAATAAAAACAATGCAGAAGCCTCGCGAAAAAGAGTCCTATGACTCGGTGGTGTGGCTCTCCTGTGTAGACCAGTTGTGCTTATTCTTGTTACATCGTGAAGCGTTGTTTCACACCCTGCCAGATGAGCACGCAAGATGGGAAGTACCGTTGTGCAGATAATAGGTAAATCAGCGCAATGATTTTGAGTGTGGGTATTAGGAAGAGTGGATAATAGGAGGCATTTCAGTACATTCTCAGAGAGCACTTAGCTTCACGCAAGTTCTGCGGTGACTTTGCCACTGCATTCTGGCAAATGGCAGCTGCGCCAGAGGTCGCAAACGGGTTTTGATTCCTTACCCGTACCCGTACCCGGCCGCACCAGGGTCGCAAACGGGTACCCGTACCCTACCCGATACCCGGCCGGGTACGGGTAGCCGGATATCGGGTAGGGTACGGGTATCGGGTACCTGATTGCGACCTCTGAGCTGCGCTCTGTGAATGGTGTCCCATGGGAGTTTTTTTTTAGGGCTGTCCTTGAAGTTTGGCTGGCGACCTGACAATACCCTTCAGATGTATCAAGAGAGAAGGAAACTGTGACGTGTAGTGGCATGGACAGCATTGTCTGCGATGACGTTTTGACCTTGACCTCTGTTCTTGGTCTATCTTCGCTGTGCACATGTGCCCCAGGTTGCTTCCACGTACCCCGCGCCCTCTACATGTGTGAGAAGATGCTGGCCGACCTGACGGACGCCTCCAAGGCCTCGGGGTAGGCCTCGGGGTAGGCCTCGGGGTAGGCCTCGGGGTAGGCCTCGGGGTAGGCCTCGGGGTAGGCCTCGGGGTAGGCCAGGGCGTCCAACCCTCGGGCCTCACGGCTGCCAACCAAGCCCAGACCCCACGAAAAAAATTCAACCACTGGAAAAAGGGACGGTGATTGCACTTACCAGCAGAGGCGCAGTGGGTGAATGTGAGCCCAATCAAAATGCTTTTGTGCTAATTGTTGTGCAGTGATTTAATGAACTGACATGGAGGGGTGTTTTGATTGAATTGCAGAATCTATTCCTTTTGGTCTCATTTTCACGGTGTGTGCTGTTTGTCAGTACTGGTCTTATTTGAACTGCCTCTCATTAGTACTGCCACTACTGTCTGAATAATACTGGTCGCGAAAAGCTACGTATTAAACTTATGCTGTATTGTTTGTAATGTCTCGTTTGTACAGTGACAACATGTCCATCTCCGTTGTATTTTCTTGTGGCTCATTGTTTATAGTTTACCACTATCGCTTGTCCCATCTGCCGTCTCATCTGTGCTGATTTGTGCTGCCTGAAATTTGTCTCAATCGTACTGTCCATACTGTGTCGTTTTTTACATCTCCTTCATTATGAACGTTGACTATAAAGGGAAACATTTGTGCATTGCAAGCAATCGATTCTCACGCACAGCGCGAACCATGTATCGCGTCGTATATATAAATCGACTTGAACTGACGAATCGTTACGTGCCTACTTTGCGGGGTAGCGGGTTGGGTGCACGAGGTGTGGTGAGAGGTGGGTGGGAGTTGCACACACCCTCTGCTGCTCATCTTAATGCACTCAGCTTGCAGTTCCACTTGATTATCATTTCAATTTTTATTGATTGTTGAAACCAAAAAATGAATACAATCATAGTAAATGTCTTAAAGCTTTTGTAACGTTTTGTGAACTAATCAATAAAATATGCAATCTGCTGTAAGCTGTAACAAATCAAGTTTTTTTATCATCCAGCAGCCTGTAATTTCTTGGGAAAACTTTGGCACGAAATAGCTGCACTCGTACACTAATTCTAATCTTTATTTTACATTAATAAAAATATAATAAAGGCGATCACAGTGCGAGTGCTGTAGATTTTACATTTGTGCAAATTTGAGGTGCTACACGTTTGATTAAATTCACTTCCGACTCATCGCAAACTCCAGTGACTCCCCGACAATTAATACTGCCTTCTCTGTTGCCACCCTGGGCGTGCCACACTTCCTCTCGCGAGGTTGGGAATCAATTTTAATCGGTGGGCCGATACTTCGTTACAGGCCCCGCAGCCTCTGATCCCTGAGAGGGCCGGGGCGTAGCCGCCACCGCCACTGTTGTCGTTGTTGCTGGCAGCCTGTGCTGGACCTGGTGGTGCCGTGTCTCATCCGACCACACCAGGCAGTCGGCCACGCCAAGCGGGCGTGGGGATGGTGCGGCGGATGCGCCACGTGTGCCAGGCCGGCCGTGGTGGTGTAGCGGGCCCCACGGTTCTCCGGGAGGCATAGCGTTGTGTAGCGCGAGCTGCGTGCGGTCGATTGGCCGGCCGTGGGCAGCCCTGCGCAAACAAAACACCTCCTTAAATTTCGATTTAAAGCTTTCGTGACTGCAGGAATTCATCTTCTTGGTTCTTTCAGACTCTGTCTCCTCGACAGACCTGTTCTCCACCTGAGGACGGATACTTGCGTTGTGGCCGAAACGTCGTGAGAATTATTTTATTATGTTTTATTTTATTTTTATTATTTTATTATTTCAATTCTACGTGACTTTACCGAAAGAACCAATAAGAAAAAACACCTCCTGTTCAGCATTACACTGTTGTGCAGTTAGCGAGTGCCTATTCAGGCTGATACACGGAGCACTGCGGACCCTGTGTAGTCTTCAGACTTGTTACAAGGGGATGGTTTGACCAGCACCATTCGCAACCATCTTTGTCTCCCAGTGCTAATGTTTACACACCACACGAGGCACTCATTTAACCTAGCAGAGGCCCAGATGGGTTTAGATATTACTCGCCACTGATGTTAGCTGTTGCTGGGAAACAAACTCAGGTCACCAGATGGCTCTTTGCTTGTGTGTGTATATCCCTGAGGTCAATATTGAGTTTCTTGATGCACTGAAACCAGAACCCCCAGTGTGGGTGGACGCGGAGCTTCCGAGGATTTCTCTCCACTCGCCTGTAAGTGGTGGAGCCGGAGCTGGCACCGCCGCCGCCATCGTCAGGCCATGAGCTGCCCCGCGCACTGGTGAGGGCCGCCCTGGGCGCGATAAGCTGGGGCAGCAGCAGAAACGGCGATGACGACGAGGTGAAGGCAGGGGGCAGTGAGGCCGGGCGTGGGGGCCGTGCCCCCGGGAAATCCAGGCGGTAGGTCGAGGCAAGGGGTCGCTCCTCGCGCCCCGCGCTGCCCGTCCATGCCACCAACTCGCCGTTGTACACGCCGGCGCTCAGAGCCAGCGGAGTCCTCACGCGCTTGCGGCCCAGACCCTGAGCTCACGTGGAGAGTGGTGGGGTGAGGGGGCAGGCATACAGTATGTGCATCGTGTTAAAATTGGCCATCACACATGGAAGAGGCTCCAGATTGGAATGTGCGAGCACAGGTCGTGCGTCTGCCAGTCAACTCGGTCCATTAACCGATGACACCTGGGATTGTCATCAACGTACCATCAACGAGCACCTAGCCTGGCACATGATTCCATGGTGATGTCGCCATCGCTTAGTCATGAATGCCAGTTGTATCAGCAGTGTTGTGTTCGAAGGACAGGCGCAAGATGGTTACATTGGCCGTGCATCTCTGCCACCCCACTACACCGTGCCGCACCATGCCATGCGCACTCATGCCAGCTGTGCCCGCTTACCGTCTGAAAGTATCCCACGCTGCCGAGGCCGGCGTGGCGGTTGTCGTGGCAGGAGAAGGGGTGTGTGTGTGCCCCATTCTGTAAGGGAGGAGAAACGCAATTCCCAGCCACAACGCAATCTAATTATGTAGTCGGCAAGCATTAACGCGTTGGTAAAAGGTGCTTCATAAATACAAAATATAATAGAATTCACAACGCAATCTCATCAAAAACACAGTCCCAGGCACAACGCTTTCCAAGCCACAGTCGTGTTGCCAGTTTGGAGTTTTTGTCGTTCGACCAAGTGACCTTTTAGGTTCCCCGAGCAACAAAATGTTGTCAAAGTAACGAGTGGCAAATCTAGCAACTTTCTGAGATGAGGATGATGCAGATGTAGGAGCGATTCCATGGTGGTTTTTCGGGTGCTGCGTTTAGGATTCTGTGTTGGTTGAACACTGCATAAGACAAGACAGTCTGGTAAACCGAGTCATCGACATATGGTGGAGACATGAACGAGTGTAGTTCACAGGAACATTAACAATGGTGGTAGCGCTAGCAGAGTGACAAGGAGGTGACTGACTGTCCAGCAAGCGAAATCGAGTGCAGGGATTGGCAATGAAAAACCATTTTTTTTGTCTTTTACCAAAATAGTTCGAGAGCCGCATCACACGCAGAGAGAGCTACTTGTGCTTAATAAACACAGCAGCAGGTATACAGCAGGTGACAAACACATTATGCCTTTAATAATTATAATAAAATATGTGATGGAATAAACTGCGTCTATCAGTCCCCCCCCCCCTTTATTCTTCAACAATGCAGTTTACAGACGTTTAATAGCGACCCATTCTCTACCATATTTAATACATTATCTTTATGTAAAATTATGTTTTAAGATTAACGTTTTATTTATCGACTACATGCAAGGAGGAAAGCCAAAATAGATTCGCATGCGGCTTCGGAGCCGAAGGTTGCTGACCCCTGATCGAGTTGACCTTCAGTTTCATTTCGGTGGCTCTCGGTTTCAAAGAAGCTGGCGGCAACAGGCGCGGCCAGGTCGCCCGCGGCGCGGGGCTCACCCGTGGATGTTGCAGGCGGCGCGCGAACGCCAAAGGCGGCGTGGGCCGGGCAGCAAGCCGGAACGTCTGATCCATGTCGTTGCGGGAGCGGCTCCTGAAGTGTCCATGGAATCCGGTTGGGAACTGGACGAAAGACGCGGGCACGGAGGGGGGGGGGGGGTGTGCTTGACAAAACAGTGCGGCCAGGTCATTTGCTCTCCACTGGGACACTTTTGTTATTTTAGCTTGTAAGGGCCATCGAGACGAACAGCTCTTTTACGACGGCGACCGCAGTCCGAGACCGTCGGCAATGGCCGCAAGGTGAGGCAGATGTGATAGCTGCCTCTCCTGGTGCTTTTTCATTGCAGTTTCATGATGAGACCAGCGAGCCTAAATATCTTTATACACATACGTGAAATAAGTTACATGGAGTATGGAAGGCGAGGACATGAAATGAAGGGGTCTACAAACATTACATTGGTGACATACTGAGATAGTAACAAGGAGCGAAGACAATTATCTACACGTAAAACTCACGGCAGAACTTACAGCAAACAGGATAAAACAAGTGCCGTAAAAATAATAATCCTGTCACTGGCGTGTGTAAATACTGTAAACCATATATACAGCCTCAGACAATAACGTAGCTCGGGGAAGAGGTCATCCTGCAGCGTGACCTTAACGCACATGGCTAAAGTGGTACATTTGGAATACGGTATTAAGATGACGTGGCCCAACCCGAATATCAATTATGAATCTCAATATTGGCTGTAAAGAGCCCAGCATATTCGTGTGCACGGATGCAAGCCACTGCTGGATGAGGGTCGACGAGTCGTGTCCATGTGGGTCTTGGGGGTTGTTTGAACATACTTCACCACGGTGGTCATGCGCGGGTTGGAAAAGTGGCAGGCCCAGGACCTATTAATACATCACTCGCCATCGTTAATTCATTACGCAGCGCGCTAACCACTGCGCCACCACTCCACCCCACCAATAGAGACCCCTCGTGTATTGAGAGCGTGCCCACAGTTCCGCACAGATGGATTCCATCCACTCGCCGTCCTGTCATCTACCAGCAATGGCCAGCGTGGTGAAGTATGGTCAACTAACCCGCCCCACGACCCGCAACTTGCGTGGGGAGGCCCTCATCCAGCAGTGGACAGGCCCAACACGATTGTTGCAGCACCGTGGCGGAATAGTTGAGATCCAGTGAGGCTTCGCCGGGTAAATAATTGACGTTATCATTGCCAAGTCATTATTATAATTAACCACGACCGCGGTTAATGACTTCATGGTCTGGAATGCACCCCGCGTTGTGTCAAGCTAAGCAGAAGTGAGCCTGTATATTGCTCGAATGGGCCACGGTGCATAAGCAAGTGTCGTAGGCTGCTCCATGGCTAAGGTGTAGGCAGTAGAACAAGTCCATTGCTGTCCATTGATATCTGTCTGCTTATATGTCTGTCTATATGTCTCTGGTTCTGTGTTTTATCTCTCTCTCTCTCAAATTTTGCATTCTCAGGAAGAACGTAATCAACCGGGTAGGGTGTTGACTGCTATGTTATCCGACTCTCTGTGGTATTACATTCCATTTATAAGTACAGTATACTAGATTTGTGTTTCTATTTCATTTATATCCGATGACGATTGCTTGTGTTGCAATCGAAACGTCTCTTTACACGTGACTTTACCGAAAAAACCAAAGAGTAATTCCTGCAGTCACGAAAGCTCCAAATTAAGTTTTCCATCGCTTTTTTCTTCTTGGTTCTTTCGGTAAAGTCACGTAGAAGGGAAGTAATAAAATAATAAAAATAAAACATAATAAAATTAGGGTGTTGACTGTTTTATTATGTTTTATTTTTATTATTGTATTATTTCCCTTCTACGTGACTTTACCGAAAGAACCAAGAAGATGAATCCCTGCATATTATTTTATTATGTTTTATTCGTATTATTTTATTACTTCCCTTCTACGTGACTTTACCGAAAGAACCAAAAAGATGAATCCCTGCATATTATTTTATTATGTTTTATTTTTATTATTTTATTACTTCCCTTCTACGTGACTTTACCGAAAGAACCAAGAAGATGAATCCCTGCATATTATTTTATTATGTTTTATTTTTATTATTTTATTACTTCCCTTCTACGTGACTTTACCGAAAGAACCAAGAAGATGAATCCCTGCATATTATTTTATTATGTTTTATTTTTATTATTTTATTACTTCCCTTCTACGTGACTTTACCGAAAGAACCAAGAATATGAATCCCTGCATATTATTTTATTATGTTTTATTTTTATTATTTTATTACTTCCCTTCTACGTGACTTTACCGAAAGAACCAAGAAGATGAATCCCTGCATATTATTTTATTATGTTTTATTTTTATTATTTTATTACTTCCCTTCTACGTGACTTTACCGAAAGAACCAAGAAGATGAATCCCTGCGTATTATTTTATTATGTTTTATTTTTATTATTTTATTACTTCCCTTCTACGTGACTTTACCGAAAGAACCAAGAAGATGAATCCCTGCATATTATTTTATTATGTCTTATTTTTATTATTTTATTACTTCCCTTCTACGTGACTTTACCGAAAGAACCAAGAAGATGAATCCCTGCATATTATTTTATTATGTCTTATTTTTATTATTTTATTACTTCCCTTCTACGTGACTTTACCGAAAGAACCAAGAAGATGAATCCCTGCTGCAGTCACGAAAGAAGCTTTAAATCGAAATTTTTCCATCGCTGTCCTCTCTGCCTTGATGCCTCCACGCCTTCACAGTGACCAGCGTGGGGAAGTATGGTCGAATACCCCCCCTACCACCACCAGCACGGCGTGCCAAGGCCCTAACCCGGCAAAGGAGAATTAATAAACATGTACACGCACACACTAACATCACTGCTACTACTGTTAGTATTGTCATTGTTAGTTACAGTGCAATACGCGGCGTGCGTCTCTCACCCACGAGCCGGTCGTGTCGCTCGCCATTGCAGATCAGCAGCGCCTCTCCCCCCTTCGTCTTTATGACGAATCGTAGTTTGTGTTTAACTTTGTTAAGTTGTTGTTGTCTTTGTTACGATGGCTCTAATAAATGTAATCCCACTCGCTCCCTCCCTCGTTCCCTTTAAAAAAGAACCTCAAAGGAGGCCGCTTTCCCTAGAGCGCCGCGCAGGCCGCGTTGCCATGGTCACGCCACGAGTTGTTATTGTTCATTAGCTATGCTAATATATGCTAATATATGCTAATTTATGCAGGCGAGGCCAAGGGAAAACATTGAATATATTATGTTAATTACATATGTTGAACTCGTGGCTTGATACGTTTACATATCTGAATAAATTATGTTAATTTTTATATGCGGCTTTGCCGGGTTGGAGCGCCTTAAAAACGTATTTATGTTAATCAGAATGTTGGATGGGCTCGTGCAATATAAAGGCGGGGTCCAAACTACACTTTTGAATAAATTATGTTAAAGATAGTCACGATAAATTGCAACTTAAGTCACTACCTATGAGATCTTCACTCAAAACTGCTCGAGAGGAGTTGTACACCCCTAGCTGCCACTGCTATTCAGTGGCCTAAAATCAAATGTTTCGCTCCGGATGATCAATACAAAGTATGACCTGTGTTTTGATTTAGTGTGCTGATCTTAAAGGTGCATTGAAAAATCATAATACAGTACTCCTATTGATGCTCCTGCTGTTGTGGAGTGGCTCATGCAGCCAGCTATGTCTGCAAGGTTTTGGTAGTACATGTTTATGCCATTTATTGTGAAAATTCCGTCACAGTTCCTATGATTGATTTTTCATTGCTTTCATGGCTTTATTTTGGTGATTTCGAAAAGTGTATTGGTTTAGCCATTTTTGTTTGTTGTAGTACAGAGTTAGACTGATGGCCTTAATCTAAGTTGTCTTATGGTTGTTGTTGTTGTTTGACTTGAATCCCACTGGGATTTTTGCACACAGCGTTAGTGTACGGTGTTTTTTTCTGCAATATTTTGCTGTCTTTTCTTGGATTTTCTGTTTGCACTTAGTCACATATTCACTTTAAGATGTTTTTTGTTCATGTTTTTGTTTTTTGTTTGTTGCGGTTGCACCTGATTCACGAGCCGAATGGCTCACAGGGCTATACCTAATAAATGAACTTGAACTTGATATGAATGTTGTTAAGTGGGATCTCCAACCCTTAACATTGCTAAATCTTGACCTAAAGCTTTCGTGACTGCAGGAATTCATAGGTTAAAATTAAGAAAGAAATACACTACGACGTTTCGATCACAATACAAGCGACCGTCATCAGGAGGAAAAAAGAGTAGGATAGCTGCTGAGGCAGACTGTTTTTAAAGGTTTAAAATGGGTGTAGCCCAAGGGTCATAAACGAAGTGGGCGGGGCTAGTAATGTTAATGTCAGAAATTAGCATGTTAATGTGAGAGATTAGCATGTTAATGTGAGAGATTAGCATGTTAATGTGAGAGATTAGCATGTTAATGTGAGAGATTAGCATGTTAATGTGAGAGATTAGCATGTTAATGTGAGAGATTAGCATGTTAATGTGAGAGATTAGCATGTTAATGTGAGAGATTAGCATGTTAATGGGAGATTCCAGACCTGCCGCCACGTCGAGGTCAGCGCGCGGAGGTGGCTGTGTTGGTGTGAGAAATTTAACCTGTTAATGCAAAATCGGAGAGCCGCAAAAGAATACCTTATCATAGCTGTCAGCCCATACGGTTTACCCTTATTTCTGCACAGGGAAATTAGTTTTCAAGTCCATACGGCGTACAGACGCTTCAATACGGGCAAAAAACATTGTTTCTCCCTTGTAATGGGACTTTGTCGGATGAACGTTGAGATTTAGAGCACGGGGTGACCAATAAGGTCTGAATTGGTCTGTAATAAGGTAGGCACTGATAAGGGTTTGACAGGTATGTCTTATTAACTCGGCGCGATGAAGGGCCATTGCCCGAAACGTCGCCTGTTATATGTATTGTTTTCGTTTAAGGTCAGTGTTATTGACGAATGTGTTCATTTTTTTTCAAACTGTTCATTTAAGGTTTGAACGATAACCGGCAAACTAATAACCGGCTAACCGGTTGAAAAAAGTCAGTAAGTGGTAATCAATTCCAGTGCATGTTTAGTCGCGGGGACACTGCTGTGTTCACGCGTAAATGGGCGCGTTTGTTTGGCTGTGTCGGGTGGAGGAGGGTGCACGACACACATTGGCACTTTGCTTACGCGCGGCGAGGCAATCTCACTCGTAAATCAATTGAGAATGTTGCACGGTAAAAACAATTTGAATATCCAATGTGAAGTGGTAAAACTATTGCATCAACTCAAAGAGACAAAGCTTGAGATTATGTGACTTTATTATTGCAGTAACCTTGATACACGTCAACAGTATTTGCAGTATAAATTACACAGAGCAAAGCGTGGGTCCCCGTGGGTGGTTGCCGAGTAACACCGCCAGTGTTAATCTCTTTCAACAAAATTAGTGACAGAGATATTCAAGGGGGTCTTTTTTTGTTTAGCCTACGACTGAGACGATACAAAATTAACGAGTTTGAGTGAAAACACAAAAGCTAATTTTGTAACGTTATTAAGATTTTTTTTTTATCTAGCTCAGTGTACTTCCGTGTTACAAAGACACCAATACAGTTAGAGACTGCAGCGCCCAGAGAACGATTGCTTACGGGCGCTTTATACATGTTCATTATTATTCAGTGCACTGAAGGAGGTGAAAATGGAAATTGGCTAGAAACGTGTAGAATTTAAAAACATTGACCGTGTTCACCGATTGGCTGAGCTGATACTGGGAGGAAATAATTGAGCGCCCCTCATACTTTGGGAGCAACTGTTTAGACTGCTTTCGTAGCCCCGACTGAATGACTCTGAAATCATCTGTAGATTGCCGTTGACCAGACTTGGAACGAAAATAGAAATGCTGACTCAACACTGTACGCCACATGCCACCGTGTTGGCGTCAGCAAGTATTTTCTCAGCCAATGCGCTCCAATCACTGCACGAAATCAGTGACGTGCAGTGAGGTTAATGTCTGGTGAGGGAATGGCTCGTGTCAGATCCAGATTCACACACTGAAGGGGGCGTGGCCTAACAGGGGAGGCAGATGTGATAGCTGCCTCCCCTGGTGCTTTTTCATTGCAGTTTCATGACGAGACCAGCGAGCTTAAATATCTTTATACACATACGTGAAATAAGTTACCGGGAGTATGGATGGCGAGGACATTAAATGAAGGGGTCTACAAACATTACATTGGTGACATACTGAGATAGTAACAGGCACACGCTTATTTCCCACGCTCCATCCAGTTGCACAATCAGAGGGGAGGCTGAGCTCGTCGCTGCCTCATCTCTCGTCTCTTCCTGTATTTGCAGCGGAGCTCTGCAAATTTGGCGATTTTGACTATAAAAATGGTTGGAATCATAGAGAAATTATATTTATAACACAGATCAGTGGGAAAATCTTCATATTTATTTTATTCTTTTTTTTTACTTTTCATAACAGCTATTTTCATTGGAGTATGATAGGTGAGGCTCTGCCTCCCCTGACCACACGTCCCTGGACGAAATTCGTTTCGAGAAATCTCTTTAATATTTCGGCGAATTGTAGCGCCTCTAGTGGCTGCAGGTTTCATGGTAACCGATTACACACATCATCGTACATCTCTCAAAGACATGCGATGCAACAATCCACGGAGTCGACCCACGCACGAGCTTTCACCACTCCTTCTCTGCGGTAGACGTATTCTCATACGTGCTCCGTCCCTAAGCTGCCACTGTCATCAGGCTTGGCCATCGTCCTTTCTAGAAACGTGTTCTGACCCCAGCCCACCGACTATTTTGTTTCTTAACGGTCATTACGATGTCTCTAACTTGCGTTTGTTCCTGAAATCCAGTTGAAAGGTGCAAAAAGAAGCATGGAGAGGTGCATGCTTGGAATTATACGGAGACAGAATGAGGAACACATACAACAGAATTAAACAACATCTATCCTCACACACGCGATTCACAAATTTAAATAATATCGCAATCTTGAAAATTAATATATTACCCTATGCGTTGTTTCGCTAGGTTTCTCCTAAGCTGCGTATGCTTTATCGCAGTACATTACATTTCGTCCACTCAACCAATATATTGCAATGAGTAAGTGCAATAACCTACATTAGTGCTTATTGCTTCCAGTGTTTAAGAAAATTATGCGACCCAGGACACAATCCCACTTCTCAAAGTGCAATCCTGGCACCGCCAACTGCCTCTAAACTGGCTATGTTCCCAACTGCCTTGAAAGTGACCCTCCAATATAAAAAAAAATCATCCCTCGATGTCGCTGTAGCTGACGTGTAATGGGTCAGCTGACCAGGCCCACGTGGGTAAGTTTGAGCCACAGATTTATGGTAAACAACGGACGTTTAACGGTTCCAGCCAATCCAGATTCCACACAATCGCGACGATTGAATACCGCGATTCGATTCAAGGACTCCCGGTTGTTTCTGTGCTGCGAGCAGCACCTCTAGTGGTTACAGAGGTCACGTGAACCAATTACACGCGACGCGTATACATTAAACAATTGAGTCAGATAAACGCTTTAATGCACGCGTCAACTTTGTAAGATTGAATTTAAAAAATCTCCTATCCCCGATTAATCCCAAAAGGTATCAATGTCAGGGAGTGTGACAAAGAATCCAGAGAACGGGCCGCAGAAGAGGATGACAAAGAGTTACCTCTGCAGCACTTACCCTGCCACTGCCACAGAAAGTAATGCTTCCCACATGACAGTTAAACTGATACTTGTAATTCTCACAAGGTGACATTTATTCAAATCAAGTGGGGAACCAACTTTTTTCCCATTATTTTTTTTGCATGCGTGTGTGCGTGCAATTCCTGGTATCTGAGTAAGTGTTGTGCTGAGACCATTAGCTCTTTACGCTTGAGAACCTGGTTTATTCACAGTGGTTGGGCAGCAAAATCCTCAATTCGAACTCAGGATTTCACCGGTGGCGGCTGAGTGTCTCTGAGCCACCGGGCCACCCTCTGTAAGAATCGACTACTGACTGATGGATCGATACACGCCGCCTCGTAAACTTCGTGGCCTCGTAAATGCCATGGGTTGGTCAGGTGTGAAAGGTGGCGGTGCGAGTGGGCGCTCAGTCGCGCTTGCCGGCACGGGGCTCCAAGTAT